ATGAGAAAAGTCGAAGTAATCTGCATATGTTTGGATAGAGCGTGAAAAGCACTATCAGAAAGCAACTGTCAATGTTGTTATTTGATTACCTTGATGAAAGATTAAGTACTATGTCTTCTAATACCCAATGCTATATCTTCTGTTCCAAAGCCTTGGGACCACCGAGCTATCGTGAATTTGGTGACAGTCCCCTCACCCATTTCTGCACGATATTTTTGATAGGCTCACTTGTTCTACTGCGGCGCTGCTCCTCAAAGTTCAAAATTACTTGAAGTGATGAGCTTTAATTCTAAGCGCTTATAAAAATAACGCCATGTGACAGTGCCAACTGTAGACCTTGATCAGAAGGTTTTGCTATGTACTAACATCTGCCAAAACTTGGACTTCCAATTAGCTCTCCTATTTGAGAAAACTGCATTTATTCTCTAGGTGCCCCATTACTTTTGGATCACCCTAATACAATACATCTACACTAGGTCTGGGAGGATGACAAAGTAGATGGAGGTATATCTACATCCAGTGGTGGTGAAAACTCTTAGAGTGTTTGTTCCAAGATATTCGTCATTTTACTTGACTTCAACTTTGACACACCAAGTGTGTCAACCGGTCGCCAATGTGTTAACCTCGTTTTATATATGGTAAAGCATGAGAAACGCTCTAGCGCTTGCTATAAGATGCACTCGAACTGGCAGGTCGCATTAGGAATGTGGTTGGGAGGAGACCTCTAAGGCCCGTATGCACGTACATCCCCGCGAGGAGGGGATGTGCGCTTAACCATTGAAATGAGCCCCGCTGGGGCTCCCCTCCCTTCCCCACGCGAACCCACGTATGCACAAAGGCGATACCGGGGAGGGGATCCCCTGGAAGTAGGGGAAGGGAACCCCCTTAGGGGGATCGAGCGGGGAAATAATTTCGCTTCCGCTTTTTGTGGTACTCACTCCTCCTTTCTCATCTTTTGGTAGCTACTCGCCTCCAGCATGTCATCGGCAATATTTTACTAGTTGCGGAATGCCATCGCCCGTGATTGCGCTCGGCGCAGCAAAAAAAATTTCCTACGCACAAAATATTTTTACTGTTTTCAAGGTTGCTCACTTTCGCTAATGCTGCACATTTCAGCGTAAAAGTGCCCAAAATTAGAAGTCATGATATCTCTACAGTGAATAAGTAGAATATGTTAGGCTGCCGAAAAGGGGGGGATGGTGCCGCAGACATTCAAACTAGAATTTCCACACATAAAAGAAATTGCAAATCGTGCTAGCTTTTCATGGATGCTGTAGCTATTAGCGACATGCCGTCCATTCCTCCAAGGGAATGATCCCCGGCGGCCATTCCTGCTATGCACGAGGGGGATGCTGGGGAAGGGATCACTCCCTAGGGGATCACTATTAGGCAAATCTGCTATTTTCTAGATTTTTCAAGGCAGCTTATGTTAAATTAACAAGGCAGGAGCAATATATCATGTAATACGATAGTTACAATGTAATCAGCCTATCTGGCTAAAACTATTATGTCATTTGAAAAATGCGCAAATTTGAATGATCAAGAACTCCTACAAATATTCGAGAATGGCAGCTTTTATTGCTTGGGTTTCTTTTCAAGAGAGGAATTTAGAAGAGAGACAAGTTCGCAAGCTACAGGTCGATGAGAGGGGAATCCGGCTTTCAAAGGAAATCTTTCATCAAATTGAACGAATTGCTTTGTAATAGTTGATTAAAACCAGAATATTCGCTTCTCTGGCATGATCTACACCATCGAACCCCTACTCCGTTGCAAGGGATGTCGATCCCCTCCCCCGCGCTGTTGAGCTACATTCGTGCATACGGGAAGGGGAGGGGAAGGGACCCCACCAGGGTCCGCCCGATCGATATCCCTGAAATTAAATACCGAATTTGTGGCAGCGAAAGAGTACCGCAAAGAAATGGCTAGCAAGCGTTGGAAAAAAACACGGAAACTACGAAACTGCACACTCATGAATTCTTCTATGAGAAAAGTAAGCCATAACATAATTGGGAGGAAACTGCTAAATAGAATCACATCACTTCAGAAATCAACATTATACTACGACAGCACGTAGGAATTATAAGAAACCTATTGAAACTAGTAATAAGGAAAAGAAGAAGACGGCGATGGGGGGAGATACAATGGGAAGGGTGAAAGGAGAAAAAAAGAAGACTGAGAAAAGGAACAAAGGCACTCGAAATCACTATTCTTATATTTCTCATCCCAAAAGCCATCTAGCACACAAAAAATGGCTGAAAATAGCTTTTTTGGCGAGATGTTCAGGTAGCCGTGAGGTAGATGCGACTACCGCAATGACCCTCCCCTCTGGCATAGCGGGGTCCAATAAAGGGGGTCGGTCCCCTGGGGATCCAGCTCCCCTCCCCTCCCCAGCGGGGATGTACGTGCATACGGGCCTAAGAAGACGATGTTAGTCGAATCGTTAGGTCAATAAAAAATCCAGCACAAAACCTGGTTAGCAGAAGAACACCACACATTGTTGAAAACAATTCTGGTTCTAGTAAGGGCAGACGATGTATTGCATGATTTCTGACAACTCCGAGCAGGAAAGCTAATGATTGAAGAGTAGAGCTTGTAGATATAGGATGGCAACGCAAGTTTCGGATTTTTGGATCTCAGGACATATTGTTTCTTCTCAAAATCTGCTTCCCTCCGAGTATGTAATGTCGATTTAACCGCACGGACTGCTTAAACGCTGCGGACCACGCGCGGCGCGGCTGAAATGTTGCGATAGTACGACTCGTACAATAGCGAATTTGTATTGGGGCAAACGTTCTACCTCGCGGTGCGTGCTCTGCAGTGATTTCCAGTCCGTGCGGTCAACGAATCTATACATGCGTGTGCCGCAAAAGAGGACAAACTGTAGTGATCATATTAAACGAAAACAATCAGGAATGATAATTAGTTAGTCACAGTAAATTCTAAGTTCAATGATTGTGGCAACGATCGAATACGCTATCATAGATATCTACTTATTAGATGACTAGCCTTTCTAATGTAAAACGTTATTTTAAAGGCAGCGTACGGGCAAAATTGACCTACCTCAGATTTTGACACAGATGGATAGGAGGCCCCCCAAGTGAACCAAAAACAGCAACTCCACGTCGAAAATGTAGTCTGCAAGCCAGGGGACGACCCAAACGCCGCTGCCCTTCCTCCTTTCGTTCGCCTAACACCTTGTTCGGACGAGTATGTTCTCCGCTAGAAAACGCGCCGTCGCTTAGCTTCGAAGGGCAGAATTGTTCTAGCGTTCTTTCCGTTTCTTACTCTGCGTCTCTGACGGCAGAGAAAAACGGCTCACTCGTCCGCGCCCGTTTCAGGGAGGGGGTGGGGGGTTCAAAAGAGGGGGTTTTCCCCATTTTCGCGCTAAGGGGAGTTCATATCGTGATTCAGAGGGCCGGAATAGCCCCAAATCTGCCAGCCTCGAAGTTGAAAATCTTCCGAGCCGCTGCCTTCAAGACATGACTAGCTTTGTTTTGGAAAAGCCAATTTACTCGTAGTAAGTTGAAATTCACAAGTAACATCCGTTACTGTAAGTCACTGTAATGGTCTCGCACGCATACGATTGCCTCTTCGACTGTGAAGTAGTATGCGTTCGGTACATGCCCACAGAGGGTATTGAAGACGCCAAATCTTTTCTCCTTTACTACTCTTTAATGTCCGTTAATGTGGGTCAAAAACCTACAAAAAATTTCGTCCATCTTATCTGCTGCTGTGAAATTCTTAAATGCAGCGTCCACGCAGAATTTGTGCACCTCAGGTTACTTCTTTTTCAAGGTCCAGGCCTCAGAAATAGACTAACTGCATGCGCTCTTGCGCTCCACACATACATGGACTGCCCCTTCGCATGTTCTCACATGGTAAGCAACTTCAAGAAATATACTGTGTGATGTGGCAGTCTTGCATGCGATAACTCCCGTTGCATAGGCGTGACTAGCGCCGGAGCACCTTGTCCACTGCCAAAATATGGCTTCAAAAAAGGGCACTGTTGGTGGTTTTCCTTGATTTGCACCTCGTATCCGGAATCAGGGACATGAAAAGGCCCGATAACAATAAAAATATGAAAGTCGAAAGTTTGGATCGATGCTGCTTTTAAACAAACCAATGCGGCGATAGAATCGCCTAGTGCAGATTATATTCACATTGTTTTTTTATGGCTAAAAAGACAAATTGAAGAAGACAATTTTTACGTAAAAGAGGTTCTCTTTTGGAAAGGGAACCGAGCTTTTGTTACCTTGTCTGAATAGCTAATTTGCCTTAAATTTTGTTCAACCTTCATTTGTAAAGGGGATGTTGAGCATTGCATTTATCACAGTAAGAGTTTGGAAAGAGAGAATGATTTCTGCGGAAAATTGCAGCTTCTAGAAAACTAGTACAGTTTCAGCCTTAATTCGCTGCTGCACCGGTAGTCATTGCAATCGTGGTGATTGCTTAACGACTTCAAAACTCGAAGCATCCAATTTAGTGTATTTCTGCACAAGACTGCAGCATGAGGATAAGGATTGGTATGTTTAGGTGGATGTGTGTAACTGGAGGGTGGGTATTTTTTACGCTTTATTCTATTATATTTGTAGCATGAATAATGTTATAGGGGCCTGCAGGATCGCGAGAGTCGGACGTGCGTACGGCCATTGCGCCGCGCACGTCTGATGTCACGAAGGCAGGTGCCAGACTTATCCGCTTCAGCCGGTTCGTTCGGTTCATAGGTCAAATCAACAGAAAAGGTGGTAAACCGAATGAACCTGTTCAACAGGATAAGTCTGGCACCTACCCGAGTCGTCGGACGCGCATCTGACGTGCGCGGCGCAATGGCCGTACGCACGTCCGACTCTCGCGACCCTGCAGGCTCCTATAGAAGGAACTTTGCGTTTTCAGTGATTCACGTCAAAGAATCTGATGTGTGTAACCCATAGAAGCTGGAAGCCTTATCGCTTATAATTTTCAAAAAGTGATTCACCGGTAAACAATTTATCTTTTAAGTGATGATGACAGAGACATATTATTATCTCTCAATGCTTGCGTGTAGGCATGCCCTTTATATACTTGGCCTTATCGCTTGCACGTTGGCCCTCAGATGCTACGTAGGTAATTGATATTTCTATATAATATTCATGATTTTGTAAGTTTTCAGAGTTTGTGAATATGGTATGATACTGAACCTTTTTCACAGATAGAAGACGATTTCAGGAGAAACAAAGAATAATGGAAAGCCGAATAGTACACAAGTATGTATGTCGGCAAAGTATTGCTTAAAGTAAGCTCACGCGTGTGGTTCTATTCTTATAAAGAACCAATCATTTCAGGAAAACTCGGAAATCTGGTATAGACTCTATACATCTGTATGGCTGCGACGACTTAAGTGACTGCCGTAGGAGCATCTTGGATATCTTTGGCATGACGATCTTTGCGAAAGGTAGAGGCGGAGGTGGGAAAGGCGGAGGTGGGAAAGGCGGAGGAGGGAAAGGGAGAGGCGGAAAGGGCGGAAGGGGAAAGCGAGGAAGAAGATCTAAGCGGCGTAGTCCTACAAAGGTAAGCAAGAACAACTTTTCTTGATCAAACTACTTCTCGCATCAATTTCCGTATGCTTATCTTGTTATTTTCTACGGCTGAGAATATGGTCGGTATTTTTAGAAAAGTTGCTTAACAAAGAACAAGGTCACCAAGTGCTGTTGCAAGAAAGATTTGTGCAATGGATTGGAACAAGTTCCGGCATTTGCTGCCTTGGTGACATCTACTATGTTCTTTCTTAACACTTAGTAGAGCCAGCAAATATGTTGGACACGACGATGTTCACATTTTGTTTATATCTGTAAACAAAAAAAGTTTGAAATAAATTTGTATCAGATTTCCTTTCGCGTCTTTGTATTGATTGTCTTATCACCAGTACCTGAATTTAGCACACACTCTAGCAAATCATCAAAAAATGTTAATGAGCCAAAGGAGCTCTTATCTAGTCGATTACATAAGTAAATAAGTGTCGATTCTTGTTATGATTGATTATAGGACATTCACTATATGTGCATGTCGTAGGAAAAACACAAGGCTAAGAAGCAAAGGCAGCTGTCATAGCATTTTTCCCGATAAGAAACTAAGGTTTCTTTCTAATTCCAACAAGAAAGCTTTAGCGTCAACTACAGAAATCTTCTGTGATAATAGCCTTACCACACACTCTGAAAAGTTTGAGGCTCACCAAACCTGTGTTTTGCTCGATATCAGCCTTACAATTAACGGAAGTCTAGAAACTTCAATATTTGTTGCAAAAGTGACAGTTTATCAATTTGAACTTACTAAAGTCTAATGGTCCATTGAAGTCATCAATTTTCATCTTCTTTCTTAACATCGATTCAGTTGTGTGTCTTTGTCAAAATTATGCAGTTCAGGGGAAACAAACATACATGGCTATCAGTTGCAGAGTCGGGTGCATCAGAACTTCCGCTCCCGCGCGGCCACTTCACCTGGACTCTGCATCTCTTTCGCAAACATGCTCTCTAATCATTTCCTCACGCTCAGTCAGCGATCAAAGCTCTCCTTTCCCAGCTCCTGGTGAAAAAAGTGATGAGAGACCATGTTCGAGGTGCAGAGGTCAGGCGAGGCGGTAAAACAATTCTACAAGTGCTCTAAAATCCAATTGTCCACGGGTCGGTTTGAACACAACGTGCGAGGCGGCTGGAAGCGTTGGTCCCGAAGCGGCATAGGTGACAATGAGCGCACACCCGTTTCGCACATATTGAAGGAAGTTTTGGTCGAAACATGCTTTGCATTTTTAAAACAATATGGAAACTGACAGGGAATTCTATGAAAAATAGTGAATGTCTACAGTCATCCTCGACGACCGCTCGCTTACGCTGATGTTCAAGGTACGGTGTTGGCAACTAGATTTTACAAGGCCTATACGATCTCACGAGTACCAGCGTTTCAAGACAGAAGATATAGTCATGAGCAGTTTTGATAGTCATAAGCAGTTTTGCGCAGAAATGCAATTGTTATATATTGCATGTGAGCACATTTCGGTCACCATCTTCGCTCTACCCATTCTGTATGTACCCCGACCTCCCTTCGCTTCCAGAAAAAGTAATCTAAATTATAATTTTTTAAATGTTTATTTTTTTAACAACTCTACCTCGAATGTTGTAAACAATTTCGAAATCGATCTTTAGAATGGCTTTCGACTTGCTCAATGATTTGTAGGAATAACAAGCCATCCAAAGAGGGGATTTCAAAACACTGTCCGCTTTCTGAACTTCAAGAACTGTAGGAAAGAAGCGGCAACAAGTTGCTGGATTGACAGCCGAAGGACCTGAATGAGCGACATGCGTGTTGCCTGATTGTTGTCGGTCGAAACGGGAAGTTTGAAATCGTTAAAAAATTGAGCTGTCTCATTAGTAAATATCTTACTGATTTGACTAACTGGATACCAAAGAATTTTTCATTCTACTCAAATGAGTCGTAACATATGCGGTAGATCCTTCAGCATTTAGAAAGTGGGCAAAGAAGTCTGTGCGAAGAATTTTTGGCGCAGATTTTGAGGTTTAGGTTTATATGTTAACACTAGATTACCTCAACCTACCCGAGTAGTTTGCTAACGTAATATGTCATCATTAACACAACAAACTTCGATCGAATTTCGGACATAGTTCATTTCAGCTTTAGGCCTTCCATATAGAAAGAAAAACATGTAAGATTGGCGTACACCAAACACGAATAGAACAAATCATCAAGTCGTTGAAATTCTTTCTTCCCGACCAATATAACGAAATTGATAACGGTTAGGGTTCATGATGAATGTAGCTATCTGAAAACTTTTGTAGTTTCAAAACACTGTAAAGTTGCACAAGGTTGTTCATACAAATACGCATAAGTCAAAATTCAGTGCGGCAACGTACCCCACTAAATTTTGATCGTACCCACTACTTAGCGTCTCCAAGTTTTATTCTTACTTTGCCAAAGGTCCTCATTGCTATAGGGCATTCAAAAAATCGTGACGCTGACGCACCGCGCGCGACATGCACGCAAATTCAGCAACCGCATTTTCTTGGTTTTTTCCCCTACTCGAATGGTTTTTCTGCTTACCTATGATAGCATCTAGACACTGGAAGTGGCTGAGCTGAGCATCAAGGTGGTGCCCTTTCGTAGTATAAGTGTTTTATGCTCCTGTAGGCGTAAAAACCGCATTCAAATACGTCGTCATGATTTTTCGAATGAACCATGCACGTTCGAAGAATCAACTTTTGTTTGTATGTTTGATTGGACCAAATTTTGCTTTTCATTTGCGAGATTGGCAGTTATGTATATTGCTTTTACGTAATAACACAAGTCATACTTTATAACGAACATATGATTTGCTACACTAATGACGGGTAATGAAATAGAGTTTATATCTGTTCCAAATATAAACGGAACTTCTGCTCGTTGGTTTGGCTACTAATTTTTATTTTTTCAAAGTCTTCGACGTCCACTGAGTGGCTAAGAGCCATTTACAGCGTTTTGTTATACAAAGTACTTGGAAATTTTTGCGCCACCCTTCACATCCTCTGCTCTGCCTTACGATTTCCAAACGAAAAGAATGCACAACTCATTGTTAGTTGCGAATCTCTCCTCTCACCTGCTGAAGCACATTTCTTTTTTCGAATTTCCACTCAGTAAGAAGTGTAGGAACGTCTTGACGACACATCCGCATTTATGCGACTTAATCGATAGCATTTTTACTGATGAACTTCGAGTTACGGTGAAGATTTGGTGTTTCATAGGTTTCTCCATCCTGGGAACAAAGCCTGTAACATTCCCCTTATTGTCTATTAAAACAATTTTCCAGACTAAACTTTTGCAAAAAAAAAACTCTAACTTGTTCTTTACTTTTGAAACATTGTGATGAATCACTGTGTAAACAAACCAGCTTATAAGGGATAAGTACGTACATTTTCTTGACCACTAAAATGTCATTTAGCCAGTTCATTATCATTTGCGCCCTTATCATCTGCGTGGTGGCAACTATCAGGTGTTATGTAGGTAGAGTTTTGAGCTTTTGAGCTTGGTGTTTGATCTCAGCCTACAACGCCATAGAAAAAATTCTTTCTTTGAATGACTTATCTTTCTTAGGAACAACCACAAATCGTGCAAACCCGTACAGAACCCAGTCATGCACGTCGGCAAGATACTGCTTGAAGTAAGTAGTTAAAAAGTTTACGTCACATTTCCTTCCCGATTTTCTCATTTTCAGGAAGTCCAGGAAATCCGGTGCAAACACTATACGGCAGTATAGTTGTGATAGCTGGAGAGAGTGTACAAGGGTAGGTATTTGATAAAAATAACCTTTTTACATTGTTATGAAAGTAGATACCATAATCGAAATTCATCCGCTTTCATAACTGCTGCAATCTTTTTCAAAGTCATGATCTTGCTGCTAGATTCTTCTTAATTAATGTTGATCAACTACACATCCTTCATTTCAGACAGGCTGCTCAACGAAAAATAAAGCCACCAGGTGCTGTTGTAAGAGGAACCTCTGCAACCATACCTTCGATACATAGAGCCATGTACTCTAGTAGCCTTCACTTTGAGCGTCATGATAGAACACAACCTGCACGTGGGGAGAAGTACAGAAGTCATCCGGGCGAAGCCCCGTAAATTATGACATAACTAATGGCATAACTGTATAGGGATGAATTTAAATGAGGCAAATATAGCAGTGACATTCAAAAGAAGCTCAAAAAAACCGAAGGATTGCGTTTTTATGGCCTTTTTTGTTGAGAAGAAGGTTTTATTTAAAAATTCAATCAAAAACTAGGGCAAAATTTCTCAATTAACCTTTCTCTGAACTGCGGTTGAATGTTGGAAGTTTATGAAAGCCGCTAGAGTTCAATAAAAACGAAAAACTGCGCTCAAATCTTGCGCAAAGAGTCGCCATATGAATGCTGGTCTATCTCGTCATGGAGTGATTTTCAAGACCCGCGACGTTGTCAGTGCTCCTGGCCGTCTCATGAGGATCACAACGATATATAATTTTGCAGGGTTTCGTTGAGACCCTGCGAAGATCCACGACCAGAGCCAAATGCCCCGTCGGCTCTGGTCTGTCTCCGCTGCTCGTCTGCGTCTCCGCGCGCTGCGCGCTACCTCGCTACCTCAAATGCGGGGCGCGGGGCATTTGGCTCTGGTACCCTTTTCTTCGTTGTTCGGAGCCCAATTTCGGTAATCTATATATCATATTAAAGCTCTTGATCTCTATTTTCACGCTGACAACGTCGCGGAACTTCTTTTTAGGATTTAAACGAGAAATCCTCGAAAAACGGAATTTTCGAAAACCTCTTGTTTTTTCTTCAGTTTAACTTTTTTCACTCGGTTTTTTTGTGCATTCGATAGGTCTTGTTTCTGTCTACGATGTAGACAACGTCGCCAAGCTTACTTCTTTGCTTATACCGGCTTTTTTGTGAAAAATACAAAAAAGTGCGTTTTTCTTTACCTTGTTCTCTTTCTGTGCTTTTGCAGCGAATTTTTTCCAGCTTGGACGATACTTGCTCAGAATGATGAGCGGAAGAATCCAGACAACGTCGCAGCGTACGAAACGACTATGCAGGGGTGAAAATTTAAAGGACGCATCAAAAATCAGATTGGCGTCGATGTGCAACACAACTTTACAGACATGTTTAACATGTTCAATTCAGTTGTTGACAAGTTCTTCTTCTTTCGGTCTCCCAACTAACGTCACAGCTAAACAGCGCTTTTTTGACTGGAAAAGAACTTTGTTGTTGTTGCCACCCATTTTTACCGGCAATCCTGGAGACGAAACTCTGCGTAGGAAACCACCAAGTTAAGGTTTCAGATTTGGTGGTGCGCTAACCTCTGCTTTAAATGAATTTTCTAAGTTTTCTAATTTAATTTGTATCTCTAAATTTTCGTCTATTTTTCTGAAACAACCTTCACTTTTTATAGGGGGCAAGAACTCAAACAACTATCACTTTCTAGCCCTTGTCTCTTGACTATCGAAGGTATGTCTGCAACGAATCACAACGAACTTCAGCATTTCTCTCTTTTCTGACGGTTGCATTGTTGAAATTCATTGTTTAATTGCGCTAGCACTGAGCATTTAGCGTTACTCTGAATGTAGATAGAATAAAGCTATACTAACCTATAGTGTACTGCGGTAAACGTAAATTTATTGCAACTATCAAACACTTATGCATCAAAGTTGTCACTATCGAAGTTTATCGCTAATTGAATGAAACTCGATGCAGTTCGGTAAACGACAAAACCTTCGACCATTTGGGACTTGTAGTACTTCGTTTCTTACTGATGAATCGTACTGAGTGATAAACAGAGCCAAGAAAAGGATGTGGTGCAAAGCGAGCTGAATAAGCCAAGGTAGGTCATATAAATGAGCCGTAGGTTAAAAATTGAATAGGTCGCTGATAAAAGAAAACATTGTTAGAAAGCTTAAGCTTTATACTACAAAACATTGCAAAAAGTATATTGTAAAAATTCGGCCGAATGCGGAAATGAAATTTTAAAAGTGCCCGGAAACTTCCCTTACAACCTGACAAGTTTGTGATGATCTAAATTGTTCTCTTCTATATCAGCAAATATGACATAATTACACTTTTAGTGACCTATTCAATTTTTGACCTAATTTGGCTCATTTATTTGAGCTACATTGGCTTATTCAGCGCGCTTAACATCACTAAGTCTTAAGATGCTAATTTTAATAGACTTTTTTTCGTCATGTCTCGTACGTTCTCCTTCGATTTTGATTCCCAAAAAGATATTTCGTTAACTAAACAATTCTTTGTATCTTGAATTATTTGACTTTCGGTTATTTTGAGAGATTGAATCGCATAACCGTCCTCCTTTGAGAAAACTCTACTGTTTGTAGATTTGTTCATTTGCTTTCCGTTAGTGAATCATAGCATTTTTCTGTTCAAAATGATATTGATATATCGTCGTCTCCCCGCGGTAGATGGGGCGTGTCGTATGCAAAGTCCGTAGATGTGCGTGTTTCGTACGGTGGTAGCCGGCGTGGCTTTGCCAACGTTGCCAACGTATGCGCGTGGCAGTTTTTGGCAGTTAGAGAGTACGAAAACTAATGTTATATGATGAAGATTTAATGAGTATTTAGACGTGGCATGTATATACATGCCATGCCATGGCTAATACCGTACGAAATACGCACATCTACGGACTTTGCCACAGCCCTATCTATCGCGGGGGACGACGATAGATAATATCGCGCTGTCACTGAGGCTGATATCGCACCTCAGCGCGACGAGGTGAGAGGAGACGTCTTGGCAAGAGATTGCAAACGGCTAGCGTAATTATTTTACCATATGCGGTGCCGCCGACTCCAGCTCTGGCGGCTGGCTGCGGCAGCAGTCGGCTGCCTGGGTACCACTTGCACGCCTCCCGGTGCAAATCCTCAGATATTATAGACCCCCTTCTAGCTGTGCCTCGATAAAACCTTGAAATGCAATCTAAATATCGTGGGTATACAGAGAGGCTTTCAAGCATACTGTGTAGCGTTTTCATTAACAGCATGTCAGATAACTCTATTGCACAATGATACAGCGGATTTGGGGGTTTCCATATATTAAGCAATAATCATTCACAAACAAGATTACATTTGTTTTTAAAAAAGAGAAGCTATATTTTTTTGCACTCAGTACAAAGCACTTTGCCTCTTAACTCTTTTTTGGAAATTCGGATCCAAGCGCCGGACAATAAAATTAGAGGCCAGTTAAAATCTCTTTCACTGAATATTAAGCTTGCACTTGTCGTCCTTTGGCAACTATTACTCAAAAGAGGTAAGACGAAACAGGACCATATCACTTAAGTGAAAAAGGTTCAAGCTTGAGAATTACCTTGTCCATAAATTGCGTCGTCGAATCAGATTTGAAAAACTAACTTCTGTTTATGAATCAAAATTCCACAGAAAGACTAGACGAGCAAGAATCCCTCATAAAAACTTCTGGCAGCCGATATATGTGCCGTACAGTAGCCTAAACTATGCTAAGACCAGGCAGGTGGCAAATGTCATGTGGAAATCATTTAAGGAGGAAGAAGCAAAGCAACTACCGCAAATACACAATCATAGGAATTACGTTCTCAACCCAAACATTCTTCTAAATATTCTCAGCCCATGAAGGACAAGCTTTTACACCCACGAACGTGGCCTCGAAGGCCTGAAGGCACGCTTTTTGAAAACCATGTTGCTTTCCACAAAATGATAAACAAGAAATTTTACAACTTGCGATAACGATACGGTTCCAAAATTGGTATATAAACAGACAAGAGCCAAAAAGCAGACTTCAAAATTTTTCGGAGGTTCCACTAAAAGTTGGAAAAATGACTCGTTTGCAAGGCACAGTTAAGGACATGGCGCCAGATCTGGTGCGCATGTATGCTGTGGGGAAAAAGCGAAGTAGAACTCATATAAAAACGTAAATGGAGAACGTGCTCGAATTTCTTGCTAAGTCAGGGCAAGCCACCCTAGTCCAGCCTTGAAAGTGCCACCATTTTCGGTTCACATAGTTCTAGTTTTTTCATAAATTTGATCTAAACTCATTGTTTACTACCTATATGCTACCACTTTGGTTCCATTAATTCTCTACTTCGCTTTATTAGAATCCCTAATTTCAACGGCTTCGGTTAAAACGTGCTCTTATCGAACAGCCCGCAGCTGGCGCAATCAAAGAATCTTAGAATTTGGAAGTGACAGAGGTAAAAGTATTTTTTAATTGTCCATTTGCCACCTCGTGGCAGGATTTAACCAAAAATATAGTTATCCTTCAGCCCATGATTACTGTACGGCGGTCATCTACGCGCTTCAAAAATGTGAGTGAGAAATACGATCAGTCCCACCTCCTTGGCCATCAGATAAAAACATGAAAATTGGCCATATTTTCTTGCAATCGAGAACGGAAGAGTTTATGAATGGTTTATTTACAGAAACCACATCGAAAAATAGAAGTACTAAAGCTAAGATTTGAATATCTGAAGAGATTTTGTTTATACACGTATGATCACTAACCATGCTCTGAAAGTATCCTTGATATTCAAAAATAAATGAAGAGGTACGTAAGTAACTAAGCAATTTCGAAACATTGAAAAATCAAATTTAGCTATAGGTTGAGTCAAGTCAGAAAGAAGAAAACATTCTTGAAGCGGTTTATCGCGTTTTTCACTAACACATCATTAACATTTCATTATGGGTAATATGCATGATGACAATGTACCTTGTTAAAATTGTTCAATTGTTGATTGATAGTTTTGATTCGTACGGTGTTAAGGCACGCCATCCATATTTTAAAAAAATGACGTGCTTCAACAACATACAAATTTATAAGTCATATGTTAGGCAGAGGGAATCCTGATGCTTGGAGGTCTCGTGATGCAGTAGACCAGTAGACACAGGCAGATAGGCTCGCTCCGCTGATTGATATCAAGGTTTCAAAAACCGCTCGTCGTCAACGCGGACTCTGCCAATACGCTCTAGTGCGCCTTCTTTTTGCCTTTTTAAACACTCTTCATTAATCCTCACTTTCATTGTAGAAGGAGTGGCTAACACTTTCTAGGCACACTGTACTCTCTTGACAAACCCATCTAAAACAGCGGCGTTGTTTGATGTTTTGCCATAAGCTTCATAAGGGCGCGGGAAATGGTGGATGAGGTGACATCTGCAAAGTATACGTATCGAGTTGTCCTACATTACAATAGAGTTTAGAATGTTACTCGGTCAAAATTTGCAAATTGTAGGCGTATGTAGTCCGATGTACCGCCGTTACGCAGACGACCATGAACACAGCCAAGAAGTTGGAGTCGCTGTCCGAAGCTCTTATCCAACATTAAGATGAGAAGAAGGGTGAGTGTGAAAAAAGTCGGGAAAAATTTGAGTGTGCTGCTCACCTAAATTTTGGCCTTTTGTCTCTGCCCAACAGCATATTTCAGTGTTCAAATCTTCATGTTTGCACAAGTAACGCTTGAAGCAGGAAATGTTGCTTGGAATCTATCTTCATTCTTGCACAAAAGCACATTGTGATTATCAACTTTGTTCCTTGACACCCTCTCCAAAAAATCAATGAGGCACGGCCACGGGATGACGAAGCCAAAAAATTTTAAAAAAAAAACTTCTTATCAGAGGTGGGAGTAGTATGATTCACCGTGCAAAAAAATCCTCATTATAAATCATAATTTTGAGGAGCCACTTGAAATGATTTTACTTCGTCAAGTCGTTACTGTTTTTGCTTTTGTTGCTTGTGCAGCGGCTCTGGAGTGCTATACAGGTTAGTTGAAATCTTTTCACCAAGTTGTTCCTAGTTATATCTGTCTTTTTTGACTTCTTGTCATTCAAAATCTTTACACCAAATTGTTCCCAAATGTATTCGTTTTCCTTGACTTATTCGTTTCGACATGCCTAACTCAGCTAGGTGACTGAATTTTTCGAGTCGTTATATTAAGTTGTAACGAATCTTGTTACACTTAAATTTTTACGGCGACAACTCATGCACTTCATATTCTGGATAGGGCTCCTGGGTACCATTCGATAGATAAAAGCAAGTCTACAAAATGGTTTGCAAAAGTTCGCACCAGCTTCGACCCACTCTAAGTTTGCATCCAAGATCTGAGTCGTACTGAAGGCTCAAAAAATAGAAAAAATTCACATCTTCGTTCGAAAACATCCTATGGATCTCCAACTTGCTTATGCAAATTGCGCATCACATCAGACATTCATGGACCGTTCTATTTTTTCTTCTTGTGAAAATTGAGAAAACAAAAATTTTCATGCTTATACAAAAACGAACCTACGTTATTCCCACTCATGTAATTGTATAGTCAAGGCTTCAGAACCAAAACCTGAATTTTCAGCTTTTTCCACAGGCCTTAGTTTTCGAAAATTACCAAATTTAGCTTTCCTCATTCGGGTGTTCCATTGAAATCATTGTTTCTCAAAAACTAGGGTCTGTAGATTGTTGAAAATTTACGGTTATACTTCTAAGGGCTTGTACTATACAATTTCTTGAGTGGAAACAGCGTAGCTTCGTTTTTGTATAAGCATGAAAGTTTTTGTTTTCCCATTTTCTAGACAAGGAATAATTACTGTAAAGGTATATATGAGTGTCTGATGTGGTATGCAATTAAGCAAGTTGGAGGTCCGTCGGATGTTTTTAAACGAAGATATGAATATTTCCTTAAGTCTTCAGTACGATAGTCTCAGATTTTGAACGCAAACTTACGGTGAGTCGAACCCGATGCAAACTTTTGCAAACCATCTTGTCAAGCTCGCTTTTGTCTATCGAATGAAACCCTGGCGCTCTAATGAGAATATGAGTGCATGAGTTATCGCCGTTACTTATGTTACAACCTAATACGACAAGGAGATCAATTATCAAATTACCTCGTTAGATATTAAATGTTCTTTCTTCTCGGAACCTGGGCATCCGGAATGATGTTAGTGGTTGTTATATGATATTATGAGAGTGCCAGATTTTGTACGGTGGAAATGACTTAAAATAAGTACGATTTTCAAAACGTAAGGCCAATAAGGAATTCCACCTACAAACCTGTCACTGGTATAATATCATATGACAACCTCTTCAGATTTCCACGAGGCTTTAAACCATTAAATCTCAAAGTAAGATAATCTGGGCACACTTTTAACACATGGTTGAATCGAGAGCATGTTATCTGAATTAGTAGGGTCAAAAGCACCCCGTTTTTATAGCTCGTTTGAGCTGGTACCGGAAGAAAAAAAAACATGCTTTTCATAACAATGCTTATGATGTTCAAAAGCCCTTTTCTTTTGATTTTTCGTGCGTATTCTCGTTTTTGTAGAGCTTTACTCGTTCTGATTCAGTAACAAAACAGCAAAACAAATACAAAATTTTTTCTTTTTGCTCTATGGTTTCAGGGCCAAAAACAAAATATCTTGAAAAGTATGTGACGTTTGGTGGATACTTGTGCTATAAAATGCTTATTGAGATATGATTTGAGAAAAATTTTGAACCTTTGAGCTTTTAGCATAAACACGAACTATCGTTATTGTTCTTATATGTCGCATGAAATTCGTAAGCATAATGCAGTCACAGAACTTCTGCTGTAGGTGAGAATTACCATAACAATTATCACTCTATAACGAAAACGTCTTCTTTTTAGCGGCAAACAAAGCCAAAAGTTTTAAAAAATTGCATTTTCTGATTTAGAAAGGGAAATTAGTGAATCCTCTTGAATTTTGCTGAGCAAAATTTCCATGAAAAAATTGGGGTGAGTTCAAGATTGACTACACACTGAGCGGTGCTTGTTTTTACTACATTCCAAACCAATTTATGCTTTCTCAAATAAATTCCTACAAAAAATGTCTGACGATGCGACTACACTATCTTTCTCTTCGTCGCTGCACAATTTCTGATTATGCATAGAATTGCTAAGGATTTGTAGAACGTAACAAACTCTACTGCATTCGCAATGACCACTTCTAAAGAGTTAAGATAAATAAAACTTTATAGGCTGCTGCATGTCGAAGGCGCAATACCTTCGGGCGCGAACGCGGTTTCATTAGCTGCAGAGCGCATGAGGCTTCAGCCGGCAGGACAACGGTGATGGCCGAGGCGCGCTCAGCGTTCGCGCCGCTCAACTTATACAGCTTCTGCGCCTTTGTCATGCAGCAGCCTTTAAATTAAAAAACGGACACAATTTCTGAGACAGTCCAACATTATATGACTAACTGGCATAACTAGCTGGCATATGGTCTGTGATCATGGGGAATTCAGTACCATCAAAACCTAAGCTCCTCATATAACCTGTGTCACCTCTCCTTTGCAGAGGCACTGATCATTATGGAACGTCTGAGGTGAACTTACATGGTAACAATTAATTTTCAAAATCAAAAAAAATGATTTTGAAAATTGATTGTTACCATGTAAGTTCACCTCAGACGTTCCATAATGATCAGTGCCTCTGCAAAGGAGAGGCGACACAGGTTATTTGAGGAGCTTAGGTTTTGTGGTACTGAATTCCCCATGATCACAGATAAATAAAAGAGTCAGTATAAATGTATTACGCGGCCGAAAGTTCTGTCGCATCACTTTCAAACGTTCATCTTATACATTAAGCTGAACATCTGTTTGTATGTCTATGTGTCTGTGTGTCTGTACGTATGTTCCGAATAGAAATTTTTATCTCTGAACCGACCCAAACCAAACTTGGCACACATACACTTTGGGGCGGGGCGGGTGTCATAGGCTAATTTTTGTCACCGATCGACATCGATTTTATCGATTTTTCGAAAACTCAGAGTTACGGGGCTGAGAGTTGGCACAGGGGGAGGGTAATCGGGCATGCTAGTTACGAATGCAATAGTAGTCATCCAAATCCAAAAAAATCCAAATTATCCATTTCTTTTATCGATTTTATCGATTTTTGCAGAGTTTGAGTTACGGGCTAGGAGTTGGCACAGGAGGGGGGGGGGGGGGGAGGGGTAATCGAGCATGCTGATTACGAGAGAAACGACGACAGGGTATTGGCATGTAGAAGTGGGCACAAGGTAAATTTTGTACAGGAATAGGAATAGTAACCTTTAACATAATGTTTTGACAGGGCCAGGAGGAGCCGGGTATGCCAGCTAGAGACTACAGTCGATTCGCTGCCTTTTATTTTTGTTAGAGTAGATCATGTCCCTCATAGTAGTCTTCTAGCTGCTTTCCACCAAACATGCATTGCAGAGATAGAAGCGGTAGCAGAAAATCACTCCAATTTTTTTCTCTGTGTAGGGTTGCCAAAAATCTGAATCTTGCACCAAAAACTGGAACAGTTCACAGTTTTTATGTCATGTTCTTTCCAGCTAAGCGAAAATTGTATTGATTGAGTTTTTCTCTGAAATGTTATGATTTTCGAGGAACGTGCCAAAGAATCAAATATGTCGTTCTGTGTAGTGTAGTGTAGTGTTTGCTCGAAAAGTATAACTATGGCAGCCGCACCTTTTTTGGGGTTGTGCCACACCTCATTAACTATGTCACAAAAACTTTTCAGCGAGCATTATGTGTATCATTCGATAGCTTGAGCCTCATAGATTTCACAAGTGATTTGAGCCTGACTGTCTTTTTTGAGTAATGGTGAAAATACAGCCGTCAAATGCGAAAATGTGGAAAACGAGGTTTTGGTTGAATTTTAATCCCACATTTTGGAGTGTTCTGAAGCGGGAATTCGAGGTGAGCAGAAAAGAAGTTTTGCTTTGCAATGAGTACCAAATGAGGTCGCTAATTCACCTTTGAAACAAATCAATTGTATTCGAAGACGACCATCTCTGGTGGCCCAAAATTCGGAAACCTCAGAGTTCGCTGAAACTTAGCCCACATGGAATTGAATGCTGCATGCGAAAATGATGCTCTTATAGGGAGTGGATCGCCAAAACTCAACAATTCAGGATATAACGCGATATGTTGCTTACCACTCAAGTCCGAAAACAGTGCATTCCCTCTCGCACAGCATGCCTTCCCTGCTGAGAACTTACACGCGCAAGGCAATCTTACGCAAGTTCAGACGAATTGGCAATGCTCCTCTCACCATTGGAGGCTGCCTACAGCAATGCTATAACCATTGGGTCGCGCAACAATCCAGCGTCTTTAGCCTTGTTCCACTCGTCCAATTTCAAAGCAAAGGGCGATGAAAAACGCTCGCTTTGAGCATTTTCAAGCTCTCTAAAGTGGATTGGGTTTAGCGCATTGGACACCCCAGGCAAGTGAGAATTTGACTAGCCGAGCCACTGCCTTTATGCTTTTAGGGCTTTCATACTATGCTTACTATACTTATACGATGGTAGACCAAAACAATGTGCTGGTAATTCGCATAGTGGATTTGTCTGACATTTCAGAAGAAATCATATTATCGCCAGCATTAGTAAAAAGACATCCCCATCCCTGACCCCTCAATCAGAGGTGCGATGGGGGAGCCGGGCTCACCAAAAGTGAAGGTGGTCCCAGCTACCACTGGCCGGCCAAAAGTGAAGGTGGTAGTTGGACACTCACCTCCCAAAAACGTCGACGGAAGGGGGATTAACGTCGAATGAGCCTGTCCTTCCAGGTCGTTGCCGCCAGTGCGCGGAAAATAAGCAAAACAAACGAAAAAAAATTATTGAAAGCATATTTCTATGTATACGGCGGCATGCATATTCAAAATAAACGTGTTTAGTAAATGGTGTATTTGGAAGTAAAAGTTAGCGGGGCTCTACGATTTTGAATAAATTTTGTCATAACGTACTGCGAAGAAAGTAGGACGATCCAGGCAGTAACCGCCGAGAATCAGAATTTTGAATGATAAAATAACGATGAATAATGCGAGATTTCCACTTTTATAAATCTTGCGGTTCAAGATGTCACCAATTGCGATTTCATAGGTTTTACAGGGTAAGTGCTGCTCTACCAGATAGTGAAAGAATCAGTTTGATTTGAGAAGTGGTCGCCGAGAGACAGAATTTCAAAAAATTAGGCTTTTTGGCGTGTTTAATGACAGCTGAGAGTTAAACTCATATAAATCTTGAAAGTGAAAGTGTGATGTTGCGACTTCATAGGCTTTGTAGGATAAGGTCTGCCTTATATTGGCGTATTCTAGCCGTACCGATCCATTGGAACAGCGCCGAGATCGAGGGTCTTGAAGAAGCAGGTAAAAAAGCGCTCTTTGAAATTCAACAGCTCATAACTTCTTAAGAACGGCATGTGCGACTTCATAGGTTAGATTCTTCTCTTCAAGAGCTTTCAGAAAATTCATAATTTAAAGGGTTTAGGGCCTCCTACGACTTATGCCCGGGAGGGCAGACTTTTCGTCACAAATTCTCCCCTCGAGAAAAGTCTTCCCTCCCGGGCATAAGTCGTAGGAGGCCCTGAACCTCCACATATTATATATCATCTGAAAGCTTTTGATGAGAAGAATCTAACCTATGAAGTCGCAGTTCTGAAGAAGTTATAAGCTGTTGCAACAGTGTACAGCTTCTGCTCACTATCATGTGAATACGTGTCAGGAGTGCCAATACGTGTCAGGAGGCAGTCCTGACTGGGCGGAGTCTGATATCAGACTCCGCCCAACCAGGAACTTCCAGGCCCCTTATCTCCATTCAGAGACAATATTAGAAGACCGGACCAACGCAGATGCCCCTTTTCTGGAGCCTACATTCAGGATCGACACTAATCGGAGGGGGTTAGGTTTAGCCTGGACACTGCCTTTAAGTAGGTATTTTATAAGAGGCTTTCACAATTAAGGTTTCTGTTCTGTAAGGGAAGAGTACCGAAATATCTACTAGACTGCACTGCGCTAAGATTAGCTTTCAAATCGCCTCATACAAGAAGGCCCGTGTTTGGCCGAGTTAGAGATCTCTCTCCCACATTGGAGGCATGCGCAACCTTTTTAATAATCATAAGGGTCCACTGGCTCTGTTGCTCCAGTTTTTGGTTGAGACTGTTCTACTCGTCCAGTTTCAAGATGAAGTTCTTTGAAAATATTTGATTTTGCCTTTGACCTTCCAAGGTGGTTTTTGGGGTCAGCATAATGGGTGACGCCATTTAGGCAAAGTATTCTCATGTTAAACATCTGATGAGCACTGCCTTCATTGAGAGAATTTAGAACTTTGAGATTTGAGCTTGGTAAATAATGATTAGCTGGGATGCCCGGCATCGCGCTCGGTTTTCAGCATAACATCATAAGACTCACCACCCTGTTCCACTTCTAAACAACATTTCCTGCCGCTGTCCTAATCCGCCTTTATCAGCATCCATGCTTCTGAAGAGAGAGTAGTCAGACTTAACACAACCATACCAAAAATGCTGTATATTATCGGGATCATCCTAAAACGCTGATCAAAAATTTATTTATTTATTTATTTATTTATTTAATGCGCTTTTGGCGTTCCTTACAAGAGAAGAATAACACGTTATAAAATAAAAAAATATGTTTATTATCTGCCAATCGACTATCTGGGAGGAGTTATTAACGTTTGAATGTGCGATTTGTGAAATACTCTGTGGCGCATGTTCCACGAAATAGGTTTCAAAAAAACTTGTTCAAGTTTTTGGTAAATGTGCTTCTTCTTTGTGGTTAAAATATTATAGCCACTGTAAATCTGTGCCATCAGGGTGTCCTTCAAGGAAATATATACGTCGAAGCTCAAAAATATCTAATATTTGAAAGCTCATAATTCTTCCCACATAGTCATTTGATAGGTAAAAAACATACATTTGAAATCAGCGTTTCAAGAGGGGTCCGATGATTTACAGTGTTTGGAATGGCCTTGTTAAGTTCTGACCATTATCTGCTGCTGAACAGCAGACATTACCTTTCTTACGCGCGCTTTCGGCTTACATAGCATATCTTGCCGTCGGAGTTAAAATGAAGTTTATCAATCTTATGGCTATGGGAAAATTCTAGGTCAAAACAGGATAAGTTTTCATTTTCCTAAACGTAAATAAACAAATCAATAAAAGGTACCGGTGGATCAAATTGGTGCCACAAAAAGTAGCCTGCGGCAACCACCGGCGTCGAAATCGTATGAGTGCAAAGTTTTAGTTTGATCGTTTCACGCACACAGAAGTCTATATAAAGCATACATAGCGCACACGTACTTATAATGATTTTGCCTTTCATACAAAATATTGGGAAAAAGATTGCTTCACTAGGAAGGAGAAGGAGAAGAAAGGAAAAGAAAAATAAACAAGATGCTTGTTCAATTGTTTTGCGATTTGCTGCTTATTATTAGTGAAAAAACATTTGACTTTTGACAAGTTCTTAAAGCCATTATCATCACATATGTTTAGGAGAATCGGAGGATAAAGAGAAACCAAACAATGTAACCACAGCATGCGCGGATTCCTTTTGCTACAGGCAACATTTTTATTGGTTCAGTACATTAACCTTCATTTTACATCACTCATCTAGAGTTTATGGGAAATTGAGTCATATATGGGAGGATGATGACCAAGACTTCATCAATATGTATGGCTGTGACTCTGGAGTATGCAAGGTAAGAAAGGATTTTTCTTACAGGAATTTGATCACGTAAAAGCTCGATAGTGTCGTTTTTCCGTCTCCCAGAGTTGAGCTCAGCACCTGCCAACACTCACACTAACGACATAGGCAGTTTAAGTCGTCTCAAAAAAATGGAGTCGCGGCTTTCATAGCTTGCCGCTGCAAGCGCTCAGCGCACCCTCTGTTTCATCTAAAGTGAGACTGGAGCGGCTCGGATTTCGCGCCGCCATCTCGCTGCCTACCTTCAAAAGCAGCATTTTAAACTTCGAATTGAGGACTTTCGCACCTGGCCTAATCCGTACGTCTTCAGAAACGTGTTTCCTCAGAGCCCTGGATTTCGGAATTAAGTGTGCGATGCAGGCTTCGCTAAGGCTGGAAAGAAGTGTCGTTGTAAGCCTCTCTCACAGCTGTGCGCGATATGCAAGCTCCAGCATGCACTTCGGAATAGCCGAAAGGGTGGTTTCGATATGGGAACGCTTCCAAACATTTTCTAAGCAAATGGGCTAGAGATATGAGCAATTTCGCTCCGCTTCCTGCTTGCTTGGATGTTGGGCTTGAATGTAACGCTGTAAAATCCGAAACCCCATTACGGCAGCAAACGGAGGAGTGCGAAAGGGCAGGAACATTACTCGAACCATTGCTCAACCGTAGAATTGACAAAGGGACTTCACCTTTGTCAATTGTACGGTTTGTATTGCATTTTGTATTGTATTTTGCGTATTGTCGAGTTCCGCCTCCCGCCAGTAAGCGTAAACCTCGCACAACTCTCTTTTTGAGGCTAGTTTTTGCGAACCGAGGATCAGTTTCTTGCTCCGACTTAATTTTGTTGTAAGCAAGCACGAGAACGTCAAACAGCTATGAGTTCCGCTTTGCTTGGCATGTAAATGAATCAAGGGTGAGATTTCGTTTAAAAAGGAGGGTTTGGCAGTGGACGACGGCTTTGTACTCTGCTTAGATTTTGCATTTGACTCCGAATCTTAATGTTGAACGTACAGTTTGTACTTTATGAAATAGTTGATTAAGGAAGAAGGCTGCTCGGACGTAGAGGAATTAACCCTATGCTGCTGCAATGAAGATCTCTGCAATTATGACATTGCCGGGTCAGAAAGACTTTCAGCGACATTTTCATTTCTATCCATTCTTACTGCAAAGCTCATAACTTAGTCATGTACAATATTTTGAAGTTGTTCTGTAAAAACATCTCAATAATCTTAAGAATAAAGGGTCAAAATGATACCATAAAGCTTAGCAAAATTATGCCATAATAAAAAGCTATCGACCACTTGGCGTTTATGCCAAAATTCCCTTTACATGAGAAAAAGTCAGATATGCTGTTGAACACTCAAAGCATGCTTCATCTCGAGAATTTCACCGTCATCTAAGTTTCTTGTCTAACAAGGAAACGATACTCGGTGTCCGTGGCCTTTTGAGATGAGATGTATACCGTTAAACTCGTCTTGGAACACTAATTCCAAATCTGACTTCTGTTTCTGCTAATCGCTCCAAAGGTGCTATAATGGATCGCGCGGATTCTGGCCGCCCAGTGAAATACGGTCGGAGCACCAACGCTAGTGGTGCACTGTGGTCTAGTGCAGCCCCCACCCCTGGAGAACGGGTCGCGAAATTTTTGAAAGTTACTTAAATGTGTTATAAAAATGTGCAGACGACTTATTTTTAATTGTAAATAATTGAAATAATTTTTGAAAATTTTTAAAAATACAAATTAGCTTTGTAAAAACGTTTTTTTCGGGGGCGTGGCTGTCGCCACGCCCCATTTTTCTGAAATTTCGGGGTCAGACCCGAAAAAATTTTGGGAAACATCCCAAAAAAATTTTCGGAACGCGTGGCTAACGCCAGCACCCCCCCCCCCCCCCCGAGTCGAAATCCTTGGTACGCCAATGGTCTAGTGGTCAGTGCGATAGCCTCATGAGTTGGTGCAGGTGCAGGTCCGAACCACTTCGTGTTTTTCAGTTTTGCATTGCCTCATTTAAGCTTCTTTCGCATCATCGAGCTGAGTGAACGCCCTTACTCTTCAAAAAATGTGGAAATTTGAAAAAAAAATAAATACTATTCACGCTTAATGGCATCCAGTGATCATAGTTCAAGTAAATTTTTTCGAACAAGCTTAATTGAGGCAATGCAAAAGTAGAAACACAAAAGAATTTAAACCTACACCTGCATCAAATTATGAGGCTATTAGACTAACCACTAGACAATAACGTGGCGCCGGTAGAGGCCGTTCCGGTGACCAAACCCTTGGACGGCCAAAGTTGGCTCGAAGTTCCTCCATAACTTCTTTTAAAGAAACGATTAGCAGAAACGGAAGACACATTCAGAATCAGCGTTCGAAGACTGTAAGTTTCATCCCAAAAATCTTTATGAACTTCATAGACGTCATCATAGTTAGCTACCTTACATGCAGTCTTTCCAGCTTTCCCTAACAAACACCGATTCGAAAACCTTTGATCAGCCTAGATAAAAGTGAAGAAGTTGCCAGCTTTATGTTCTTGCTCAACTCATCTCATTTCCATTAGTCTGTCGTGGCGATTAGAGATGTGACCACGCAGAACAATTTCGTATGCTATGGTTAGACTATTCTAAAAAAGGGACTCTGTTTCTTTTCCAGTAGGAGGTATGGGTCAAAGTTCTACAAAAGGAAGTGTCGCCCTACTGCTAAGCTTCGAAAAAATTACCAAATTCTTCACAGCTCCTCCTTTTCGTCCGTATGCGAACTAGTGCTTTTTTCAACCATTGTTACAGGAGTTATCAATTGAAGAGTTGGGTGCACCAGCATCTCCGCCCCTGCGCGTCCGACTCGTCTGGGCTCTGCACCTCTTTGGCGAACATGCTCTTTTATCACTTCCTCATAGCGGGCATAGGAAAGGCGGAGATTCAATGGCTGATCATGTGCGAAAATGATTAAAAAGCATGCACTCTCTCGATAAGTTGGTGCGCGACTGACATGCAAGAACACGAATTTGCTCGCGCGCCACTTTCAAAAACCAAATTTTTCTCATTGAGTTGTGATCAAAGGTCTCAGTTACAGCGCGCATATAACGATATGACCAAGAATTTGGTGTATAAACGGACATGAACTAGGAATAGCATAGTGCAAAGTCTTGTAGAAAAATGTGACTCAAGATTGTGGCAAGCTTTTCTGAGAATTTCCTACTCCACAACATGATGAAATGGTTTGTTTGCAAAATGATGAAATGGTTTGTTTGCAAGTCACAAATATGGCAATAACGATAACGATATGGCATAAATTTGGTATGTGTAGCAGTTGAACTAAGAAACTAAGTATGAAAAAAACTTATGTGAATAAAGAGCGTGCTCAACTTCCTTTTATTAGAGTGAACGGCAAAAAATGGAACAACCTAATTTTTATTACCCTAATTTCACGCGTACAAGGCGCGGGGTGGTTCTAGCTTTCATCGACCAGCCCGAACACGGCAAAGGACTTCGCAACCAAAGGAACCCCATACCGTGCTGCGTTTTGCCTGACGAATCGTGCGGCATAAGGATCGCTTCTTAAAACACGTTGGGGCGGCTGAGCAGCTCTATGAAATCTAGGACCACCCCGCGCCTTGTACGCGTGAAATTAGGGCACATTTTAAGATTTTATTGTTTCGATCAACAGCAAGCGGGTTGCGATTCAAACGCCGCTTTACATGAGCGACCTCCGCCTATTATTCTGGTAACGCGTCAACGCTTCTCTCCCACAACTGCACGCGTGGCGCCATGAAACGAACAGGGTTTTTTTAAACATCTCTCAATCTTGCGCTGCTATACCGTAACGTCATGAAGAAAGTGACATACCATTCCAAAGGAGTTCTTTATTTTCTTTCGAATGGAAAGATGTCCTGAAGAATTGCGATTTTTGGCGCTATAACAACCAACAGCCATATATCAATCTGTATTTTGAAAAGACAGACTAAATTTGGGGTGAATAGACTAAAACTGGGGTAAACTGCATATAAATATCAGATCGGACCTGAAAAACGTGTGCTCACTTGCAAGGCGGTAAATGACACATATCTTCGTTCTCGAATGCCAATCATATCTCCTGACTTTGAAGGCAGAGTCCGGGTAGATTTGGACATTTTTGAATACTATCATGATCGAGTTCTATAAATTTTACTTAAAACTATCGCGCGAATCAACTTTCGAATACCCCCTGCAAAAGGAGAAAATCGGAGCAGAAAAGACTGAGCCTCGAGGACCACGCCCACTCCCTCGTACGGTCCGCCTCCCTGAACGAACTCTCCCCAGCCCTTGACATGTTTTCACGCGGCAAACAAAATCAAACACATAGTGTTTACCTGTCAATGCTGGCTTTCAACGGTAGCATTAAAAGCACTCGTCCACGTTTTTTCAAAACTTTCACAAAAAGTGGTTTTTGAGGATTTCACGCATTTCAGGTGTTACATTTGGAATCAGCGCCATGAAAAGGTCTGAATAAGGCAAAAAATAGAAGTCGAGATTCTGTCTGGACGCTGCTTTCAAGCGTTGGGCCAGCAAGCCATCGTGTGTTTAGTGACTGTACCTTCACCCATTGCAACGGTACCTTAGATGGTCTCACATGTTTCGCTGCGCAGATACATCTCGAAGTTTGTAATTTATCGAATTAGACTGAGTTTGCATTTCAGCAAGTATAAAAATTATTAGGTAAGTGAATAACCTATAGGTGTTGTCTGAATAAAATAAAATATTCTAATATACATTAAGACTGGAAGATTCAATCACTTTTCTTTCGATCTTCAGTTATTTTTCAAGTGTCCCATTTGTAGCCGTTCACCCTATTATTGTTTGATACAAAAATACTGGTCGTTTTTTCAAGCCTTTTTCAAGAAAAACTTTTCCCCATCAATTATTCTTTGAAAAAGAAACAGCATATAACCGAGAAGTATTTTCATGCTCTATCTAACCACGGTTGAAGCGATCTTCCTTGACTCAGGTTCTAAAGAGTTACGAAGCTTCAGATAACCGCAGGCAAAATCAGAATTTCATTGCATTCAACTTTCTTGCAGAATTTAAGCGCGAATGAATGGCGAAGATTCTTCGAAGATCTAGCAACCGTGTATAAGAGAATGTGTACATTACGTACACTATACTTTTTGAGATCATCCAAGCTGAAATATCCAACATGAGTAATATACTTGGGTCCGAATCGAATAGAAATTCGATCATTCGAATAAAACATTCGAATATATTCGTATTCGAAATTTGATATTCGGAGTTCTTCCATTTTCGAATAAAATTCGAAATCGAATAATCAAAACACAGGATTTCGAATAAAATTCGAAAACTCAAATAATCGAAAACGACGATTCGAATATTATTCGAAAACTCGAATAATCAAAAATGAGGTTTCGAATAGATTTTATTTGAATGTTTTATTCGAATATTTATTCGAATTCGTATTCGAATGAACTCCGTATTCAGATTATTCGACTTTTGTTGCAGAGCCATGTGCTGAGTATCAAGCTCACTTCGTCCACGTTTTTTATTTGCAAAACCCGGTAATGCATCTTTCGCAACCGTTATGACCTTTAAACCGTATGGAGAGTCGCATTCTTCCGACTGCTTGCGGCAGAAAAAATCATATGTGGATTTCAATTGATGTTTTTTCGATCAATGAGATTGTTCCAAATCAGCAAAGAAGCTATCAAATTCAAGCTCATGTTCCGAGTTCATATATTGGTGCTTTGAAATGCCTGTTTTTCTTTCTTTGCACGGCTCATGCTTGCGGTACGCAAAACCCACACTAGTGAGCACTCTTGCTTGCACAAGTTATATTGCACAACTGCCTCTACTCGTTACATTAGAGATTTTTTCTGAATTGGTGTTTTGAGTGAAGGGCATCGCAGTTGCAGTGGAGGATTGGACGGTTTAGATAGCCGTGCGCGATTTGCCAGTTACGAGATGTCTTTAAATGTAACGTTAGCTTGCCATAAATGTTTCGCATGTACAACTTACTGAAAAGATAAATGCCCTGCATTCTCTACTTCAAGAACAAGTTTTGGAGAATTTGACTATTGCCAAATCACGTCGCCACTGAAATGCCTGCAGTATGCCCGGAGCTATAGGGGCATTCGTGCTCGCTTCGCGGAATAAACCACATGCCTTCGTAGCTACCCGCCTCCGAGCTACGGGGCTGGGAGTTGGTACAAGGGGTAAGTGAGGGTGCTGATTAAAACCAAAATCTGTTTTATCGATTTCAGCGATTTTTGGAAGATTTTGAGGTAGGAGTTGGTATAGGGAATAGGAGGGTGCTGATTATGATTGGATCGGCTTTAGCCAGATATGTCGGCAAGTTTGAGATATGGTTGCTCTAGTTATTCGATAAATCATTCGAATATTCATTCGAAATCCGACCTCCAATGTTCGAATATATTCTATATTCATTCATATATTTTTGATTTTCCGAATTTATTCGGAATTCATTCATTCGAGAATTTTTGAACCTCGAATTTATTCAATATTCGTTTATTCGAGATTTTTTATTTTCGAATTTATTCGATATTCATTTATTTGAAATTTTTCCTTTTCGAATTTATTCGATATTCATTTAATCGATAAAAAATTTCGAATTTACCCAAGTAAAATGAGTAATCGTTGCGTTTACTCTGTGGCCCATGGACTTCTATGAAAAAAAGTAACCACCGAAGGTTTGCTCATTCCTGTAAGCGTAAAGGTAGGGAGGGCATCCTGTTAACAGGTTTTGCAAAAAGATCCGGCTATTCACTATGCAGAAAATTCAAAGACTCTGTGATTTGGAACTTTGGGGTCTATGAAAAATGTTGGAAAAAGTGACATGCCAAACCTTATGTTTTTTCTATTTGCAAATTTTTTTATAAACACTCTTTTCATCTGTCTCTGTACTATTGGATTGTCGCTACAAGACAGACCACTACATTCATACTAACAGACTTCAAAGGAAGTTATGATTTGTCAAAAACGAATTTTTCAAAAAAAAACTTTTTGTTTTCAGTTCCGTATTTTTTTGTTCTTTCGTGATGTTAGCACAAATATGTCTATATTACAAAACATTTGCTGGTTCTGATGGTCTTTATTGCATTCAGAAAGGTAGTTTTTCCAGAAGTTATAACGCATCAAAGAGAATTTGCAAAACAGTCATTATTTCTGCATCAACCCAACAATTTAGGTAGGAATTGCCCACCTAAAATTAAAAAAGCCCACCTGAGGTAGACAAACTTCCAATTCACATAAGTTTTCAAAATTTTCACAAAAATCGTCCTACAAGTAAAGTTTAGTACATAGTAATATTTTACTTTCAAACTCCTCCTCTTCTCCTTGTCAGGATCCGGAGTAGCAATGACGCAGTTCTTTTAAGGAAGAAAGCGCGCTGCAGTCGAACAACATGCGCAGCTAGCGAGATCTAGTGGAAACTCTAAAAATTGATAGTGGCAAGTCGTCTCACCGATATCCGTTTGCCACCCTCGTTCTGGGTCCTACTCCAATTCGATGTCGGTTAGCTGTGCTAATCTTCTTCCACGTTTGCTTTCCGCTTGTCTTGGATTGCTTGATTTTTTCAACACTTCACCTATTGAGATATTGTAGATCATCGCGGTGGCTTTCTCTCGCTCCAGCAAGGTTCAGAATCAAAAGAATGGGTCACAAGAACAGCAAGGAAGTCAAACTGGCGTACATACTGGGAAGATTTTATCTTAAACCTTTATATAATAAGATCTCATCAAATCAATTATGGGCCTTGAATAGGATCCACTTTTTCAAAAAAATATTCTGGCTGGTAAGATATCCTCTAATTTTCCTGAGTTATTGGAGTCCAAAAAGCATTCGCGAAGCTCAATCGTCAACGCAGTCTAAGAACCTTCGGAAACACTCTTATAGAGCACCGTAGTTTTCTCAAGAAACATCTCGACTGCTCCAGTCGGAGGTTTTCAGTATGGGAAAGCATAACACTGCTTGGTCTCATGTGATCAAGATGGCCATATCCTCTATTACTGGCGCAGGGCATTGGCAAATGCCTGCCATCTGCGTCAAAAAAGTTACTTTAACATATAAGTATGAAGCAGTGGCGTGCCGAGGGGGGCGAGGGGGGGCCGAGAATGGCTCGCGAAATTTTTGAAAGTTACTTAGATGAGTGATAAAAATATGCAAGTGACTTATTTATACTTGTAAGTAATTAAAATAACTATTAAAATTTTTTAAAAATTCAGTTTAGCCTTATAAAAAAATTTTTTTGGGGGCGTGACTGAGGCCCGCCCTCTTTTGGAATTTTGGGCTATGGGCCCGCGAAAATTCTGGAAAACATACCGAAAAATTTTTTCCGGTGCGTGGCGTTAGCCACGCACCTTCACCAGAAAATTTTTTTTGTCGTCCCCCCCCCCCCCCGAGCCGGGATCCTGGATACGCCACTGTTATGAAGGAATGTTATGGAGAAGGAACGCCAAAGAATTAGAGGCAAGAGGAGCCGTGAGGGTTGCATATAAAAGACAAGTGCTGAGATCATCTGAGATATTCAAGCTGAGGTAGGGAAACGAATTATTCGATATGCATGATTTGCAAGGCAAAAAAGTTTCAATTTTGGATGGCAGAATTGGGGATTCTGATCGCTTGATACCATTCTTTGCTTTTGCAGATCAAGAGAGTGACGGTGTTCCGATACTAACTCCCATGGAATGCGCGGGTCATGTAAGCACATGCGCACTGAAGCGCTGATCATGAGGAAAATGCAAGTAAAAAAATGAAGTGATCTTCACACCCATTTGCAGTTTATACTTGTTGACAGGCTAACAAGCCGCAGTGATAAACAGCGTTTTTACATGCCTATGAATTGTAAGTAATACGAAGGTGCCCTTAGTATTTTTCTTCTTGACAATGCCTCAGGACCTTACGGTATAACCATCGAAGCAATCGAGGAGGAGAAAATTATAATACAAATGACAAGAGGACTTCAGAGGCCGCTAGGAGAACCAGCAAGTACTAAGCATTACTTTGTAACGAAATGTTTACAGAAAGTAATTTTACCGGATTCAGACTCGACAACGGCAAAAATGGCAGAGAATATTCCATTAAAATCAATGCGTGTCCTATCAGTGTAGTACCATTTCCGTTGTTCTGTGATATTTTGAGAATAACCGTCTATGTTATGATGAGAATGTCTACAAAAAGTGACTATACATGCATATTGCATACACATACTGGTTTCATATGGGAGTGAGATGTTCCTCACATCACCATATGTACTCAGGAATATATACGGGTAAAGTTCTAAAAAGATTAGAAACGTCAGGAAGCTGCTTCAATGCAAAACTAGTGCGAGTTCAGTATGCATAAACATAACGATATGATCCAAATATGTTTCTCACACTCTGCTTTCAAGGCTTGAACTAAACCACACCTTTGGCCTTCTTGCCGTTCTTCGGGTTCGAAAAATCTCAATAGTAGTTCACAGGAACATTTCAAAAGAAATTAAAATAGGATAAGAATTTCCAAAGTGAACAAAGGAGCAAATAATTTAGATTATGGATTTGCCCGTTCCCTCGCATATTTCCGCTTATCCGAGCCCTCAGGTCTTCCCTGTAGGGGGTCACTCATTTTGTTCCTAGCTTCATTTATGAGAGGAAAATGTATCGATGCGCTGCGGAGAAGTACTTTCGCATAATGTAAAGTGTTTTTTCTAATCAGTAAGGTGTTTGAACAATCTCGATAACGCTCCAACCATTGAAAAATCATGTATTAGAGAATCGAAAGAACCTATTGAAAAAATCTATATAATTCTACAATTTCTGTCAATTCTCAGGAATTCCCCAATCACCGTATTAGTTGAAATATGCATGTTTATTTACAATCTTTCTCTGTCCTCTCCCAGCTCCCATCTCGTGCCATCCACCTTCAATGCTCCAGCTCACGGTTACCAAAAGTAAATTAGCAAATTCAACTTTTGAGACACCCGTCTTCGACTCCTTGTAGATGAGAAAATTGACCATACCATTTGCCATTGCTAAACAACATTTGTCTGCCCCAATTTCATGTGCCATTTCCCTGCCCTACTGTGTGTTATCAGCATGCTTACCTAGGCTCGCATGCATTAACATCCCTGCGACGACGAAAGTCTTCTTTCGTTATAGAAGAACCGCGAGCGAACACGCTGCGGCTTATTCGTCATTGGGTACCTCGCTGCAGGGACGTTGATGCAATGAGCCTCATTCCTGACTAACCGGCGGCGTTTATCAGACAAAATTTTCTGTTCAGTGCTACGCAAAGTGGGCATATTGACAGATTGACATTCCCGTATATATAGGATAGAGGAGTACAAAGATATCAACAGTAGAGAAAGAATTGATATTACAAGATTTACATGCTCATTTGAAAGATTTAGTGATGCCTTTTAGGGTTTTGCTTCACGTGTACACCCTGGGAGCGAGTTTAGCTTTGTAATTAGCAAACCTATTTGTAATTGATTGGTTGTTCTGGCAGGACAGCAGATCTTTTAAACTGTGTTGAATCATAGAAAAATAGAAAAAAGCCACTTGCATATTTTCTTTCCAGTTATAGAGCTTGCAGACGAGTGGCATATACGGCTGCAGTTTTTTAATGGCTAGAAATTTGAAAGAATGCTTCATGTTTGAAGTGCATTTTCTTTGTAGCTGAAGTGGACGATAGAAGATGGTCACCGCGGGAAATTTGCTCAAGCTCAAGTTTGTAATTTCTTCACGAATGTATGCACAATGTTACAATCATGAGGTCATTCTGCATTCCAACTTTGGTAGGATCGACGTACATTAGAGGTAGCGTCAAGGCAAATTCTTAACTACCATTTTTTTGAAAGTTGCCCCCTTTTAATGGTGCTGATTCTAAATTTGGCACTCAAAAAGCGTGAATTCCTCAAAGAACCATCTTTTTGGTGCTATTTTAGAGAACTCGGACGAGTAATTTTAATGGTATCCTTGTCGAAAGCAAGTTTTAAGAAGTAAAGCTGTGTGCTCGATTGTGTTTGCCATGTTAACACACGTCAAGGGCCAAGGAGATTTCGAGAGGGTCGGCGTGAGAGGAAGTGGGCGTGGTTCTCGAGGCTCAGACGTTTGCCTGAACGCTGTTTTCAAGGTGCCATCTTCGCACTCGTCACGGTAAATTTAAAAATCTGGTAACCAAAAAAAATCAAGTAAGCAAAATTACAGAAAATGAAAGATGCTGCCCTGACTGTACGCTTAGTTGCACATGCAAAACGAAGACAATTACGCGACTGTCTCTTCTTTTGCGCGCGCCCAATAAAAGCACTTCACACAACATGAGTCAAGGTCCTGAAACAGCTTGTGCCCTCTCCTCTCCCCCAAAACGGATTTTAGAAATTATGCTTCAAATTTGATGATCAAAACATTCTTTGGACGTTTTCTTTTGGCGATAGCTGAAAATATATACTTTACTACCGTCTCGGCTTCACGTAGCAGGACTCCACTAACCAATGGTTTCCTTTGCACGCTCTTCCAGTACTCCCCATTTGTAAACAAATTAAAAGAGTTCTTATGTTTTATAAGTATGCCATTAGAAACAGGAAACCGAAAATGTAGTCTAGAACGCCTACTCCTTCAAAATGTGCAAAATCGCTTTGAACCAAACTTCAAGCAAAACCTTTTCGGAACGCAGCGAACGTAACCAGAAAACACAAAAAAACGGAAGTGTTGAAATCGGACATTGCCCGTTCAGGCAAAGGTGACACACAAAATGCAAAAGAGCAAAGATGAAAAGTCTTTTATAGGTATATTAGGCAGCTTTAGTGCAAGACTCAAAACAGTCGCAAAGGCAACTAAGGCGGAGATATTTCTGAGCAACCTTTCAGAATTGGTGTAGGCGCAGCTAAAATTCCGTTAAAACGTCGACTATCACGTTGTACGCAGCTGCGGTGCTTCATGGCAAATTGAGACCAGCTGAACTGGTCTCATATCGATCAGCTGTATTGGTGCCTGACCGGCATAGATTATAAATAGAGTAGTAGCTTCTTCATTCTCTTCATTCATAGCTCGCTTTCGAACACAGTTGATGTAGTGAAGCAATATCCCGAATTTGATTCTGATGTAAACTTATACATGCCACTTTGACTTTTAGACTAATTTGTTTGTTGAGTCACCTTTTCAACACATTTCACCGTGTCCGTTCTCTCGAATCAAATTGCAGCGGTTGCACAGTGTTGAAGATCTCACATAGATTCGTTTTTCAAATCACCATTTTCTTTGTATTACTACAAGGTCGTTCAGAAAGCAAAGTGTTAGTCATGTTCAAGAATAAGAGACATAAAATTTCAGTCTATGTCTGAACAACCGCAGCGATGGGTCTTTCTATTATGGTTGGTATATTCATCACGCTCTTTGGAGTTGCGTCATCTCTGAGATGTTATGAAGGTGAGAAATTTTTGCTTTGATAGGGATTTTGATCTCAATTTGGATAGCCATCAAGCAGCGGCAGACCGAGAGGAGGGGTGCAAGAGACAGTGCAAATGAGTTGTACTGATAATGATAAGAACTATTTATCAATAAGCGGAGCGTGAGGCGATAATTTTAATGTTTCTAATTTTGAATGACACAAATTTTTTCAATATCTTTTCAAAGCTCAAACTAGCGAAAGTACAATCGGCTGCTTTCAAGCCCTCATAAAGCATCCCATCTTTTTTAGTGGTTAACGCTACACCTCTTTTTTCAAAAAATCTTTGTCATTTTCGCTCTTCTCCCTACAAAGCTTTCGACCGCCACTGCCGTTGGGTATGAGTAAAGTGGTCCAAAAGCAGATGGTTGTTGGGTGGTTTCAGCTAAGTGGTTTCAACATACATTTCCTTTTTCCTCTGATAAAACCGTAGCAGCTCTACTCAGATTAGCAACAGAAATCTTAGCCTACAGGTACAATTCGCTAAGACTGCATTGATACTCTCTCCTTGTATACCACTACTCCTGTTGAATTCCTTTAGGGTTGTTTCATACTGCCAAGGGTTGTTTCATACCGCCACACAATGACCGCACTAACCGCACCGACTGCAATGACTGCCCTGACTGCCGCAGCCGTTGCATTGGAGCATGTAAGCATAATGTATTTGATGGATTGCTACTGCGTGTTCGGACTTCGTCATCTCTATGATCAGTAGTCACTCAAAATTCAAAGAATTTTTGACATAAATGAGTATAATTTTTGTTAAAAATGCGCTGGCGCTCTGACTCTGTTTTATGTTGTGCAAACAACAGAACGTGAACCAGATGTGATGATATCTACTGGGACTTCTCTATAAGTCATTGTTCATAGAAGCTGCTAGCGTCCGCAGACTTGCTATAATTTTTTGAAAACTTTCACGCTTCACAATTTTGAGTGTTTTACTTCTTCAGGGATTATGTGTTAATTAGCACGCATCTTCTGTGCTGCGGCTGCTGGGGTCAGTGCGGTATGCGGTCAGTGCGATAAGCGCGGCATTAATGGAACAACCCTTAGCAGTTTTATCTTCCTCACTTTTTCATGATCATTAGTATCCATTGTTGCAGTATCAAACCAAATGTTCCAATTCAATCATGTACTGACAGTTCTGTTGGATTACCGATGATTAAGAGTCATAATAAGATATTTCTTATTCTCCAAAGCAACTACTCAGAGAATCGCCGGGGTTAGGGGCCATGATATTTACAAGCAAGCGGTCACCGGAAAAATAGATTGCTGATTTCTTGCAGTTATTTGAAAGAATGTTGGCCAATTTGTAGACGGACGCGTGGGAAACTATCGCGGTCTTTCTGTGGATAAGTTGCGGCGCAGCGGCCGCATTCTCATGGACTTTCCACGAGAATAAGCAAAGATTATTGAGGTGCGCGCGGTCGTTTCTGAAGGACCGCACAGCTTGTAGGTACCTTCCGCTGAGAGGAAGTACCCGAAACTCTAACCCCAGCGATGACACCTCTGCCATATTGATTATCTTTGCTAGGCATATGCCCGAAATTGCGCAGCGAGAGTCAACGGCGATCACCAAAAATTTGGTCAGCTCTCGCTGAAAAAATTATCTGGCGACCGCTCGCAAAAACTCTGTATTATTCTCTGTTATGTATTACTCGCCTGGTCGCTGGCAGGACATGCGACAGTAGAGGAAGTGCCGCTTGTTGAAGGTTTGCCCAGGCGCCAAAGTTCTGCTGACCGCCTGCAAGAAAGCGCCAGTTTGCGGTCCGCCTGTTCCCGCCGATTATCTGAGCAGTTGGACTGCATATGTGATTTATAGCAGCCGATTTCCTACCCAGACAATCGCCGAGGACAGGAGGGCACCGAAAAACGCGCTTTGCTAACTTTGCGCACTATGCGTGCGGAATTTTAGACAACCGTTCATGACTTTTGCGAGGACGAGTTAACTTTCTTTCGCTCGGTTGTTTTGCAGAAAGATGGCTGCTTTTTGCTTGGCGCCAAAAACCAACAAGCTGCCTCACAAAAACTCCTAGCCCCTTTTCAAAATACAACGAGCGGGTGCGGGAGTTCCATCTGTTCTTTTGGTGCCCCCTACCTTCGGAGATTGTCTGAGTATTGGGTATAGCTAATGAGCTGTGCCAAGGCGGCACATTTTCCACAAGCATTGAGATTGAGAACTGAGAGATTGAGAAGATGATGGAACACATTCATAACTTATAAGAAACCGCCAGATGCCCGGCGGAGGTCACAGATCAATATGCTAGTACAAACGCTAAGGGAAAACACAGCTCACAAAACCCTCAAGCAATTACAAACTGAGTAATCCGTTTTGATTCAGTTCCTACTTAAATTGAAACTCCGTGTGCTTTACAGTGATCATTTTTGATGAGCATACTCATTTCTTTATTAGAAAGAACCATGTACCTTGGTGGGCTTCACTCGGAGCAATAATGAAAAGCGCAACCTTTACACAGAAAATAAAGAAAAAACATCCGACGACATTGTAATGTTAGTAAATAAAGTGGATAGAATGAGTTATGTCTAACATTTTACTGCATCAAAATTGAAGAAATGCAGTGACCTTTTCGTTCTAGAAAATGGGAAATGGATCTTGTTGAGTATACATTGCAAAACGGCAACAGCGTTCCTTACATATGGTCCTCTCGTGTTTACGTTGAAGTTCTGAGAACTGGGGAAGATTGGTAGAAATAAATGATGAATTGCAGAGATGGGCTCAAACTTGCGCAAAGAGTCACGTACAAACGCAGATGTATCTCATTAGAGTATTTTCGATACCGCCGAAGTTGTCAGCGTTTTTAGTAGTGACTAATAGAATAATTAAATATTGCAACGTTTCGTTTAGAATCAGCCGAGATGATAAAAGTCACAGTGCCTCTTTTTCCTGCTTGTTTGGCCTCCACTTTTTACCCACGTGCTTTCCCGGGGCATTAGAATGACACTTTTATCCGTCATTCATATGCTGGTGACGCCTCCTCAGCGCTGGCAACGTCGCCGAGCTCGGTTTTTCCTTGAACGAAAAATGTGGCAAAAGTTCAGTTCTCGAAATTCTTCTATTTTGCCCTCAACTTAGCTATTCGCAAAAAACTGTGAAAAGAGGGTCAAGCCGAAACAGTGTGCACATAGTTTGAAACACTTTATGTACACTCTTTTCAGGAGATACCAAGAACGACAGAAAGCCTAAAACTGCAGCAAATTGCTCGCATCCGTTCTGCTCCAAGTGAGTTCCATGAATCAATTTCACAATATCACGTCCTGATAGACTCTGCATAAGAGACAACATTCTGTAACCAAGTTTGACTTGAGAAGCTAAAGAGAATCAATAATCAATTCAAATATATTTGTGTACGCTATCTCACACGGTATTCAGCGATATCCAGTGTTCGATATGTGTTGGACAAATGATGAGTATCAGCAGTCGGCAGACACAACTTATCCTAAGATTTATCCTTTTAACAGCGACTACCTAACGATGATATTTTATATATTATTTATTATTTTTCCTTCATCTCCATTTCAAAAATTCATTGTCTTAAGATTATTTCTTCCCTCTTCTCCCCGAAAACTCATTGTCTAAAGGAATAGGCGTACCTCACATGATTCAATCGCGACATTCCACGCTTAGACCTTCCCATTCCCACAAATGCGCTTGAGTAGCAAGAATTATGGAGCAGTCTCAGGCTTTCAGATTACGAGCATAGCTGCTTTCTATAGTCGATAAGAAGTTTACGGTGGAAGTCGTATCTGCTTCCTTCCTAGACATTTAGAACTTCGACAAATGGGGGTAACATTGGCTACAGCCATCACCCACAATGTGCCGCAAGGAGCCTTTACTAGGATACTGCGAGTAATCAAGTGTTCTGGCCGGAACCATGAACGTAAATAGGTACAACCGCTTCCGGTGCTTCACCAAGGGCTCGCCGGATATTTTTTTCGCAGGAAGTATCAGGGGCACATGTGCGTAAGTAGAAATCTTACAAAAGTTTCTTGCGATTCACCGTCTTTTGTCAACGCCGCCTTCACTTCTTTCTTTTATGGTGCAGCCAGCCGATATGTTATTCACAAAGCTTCCCTTCAACAGCTTTGCTTCCTGCTGCAAAAAAAATGCTTGCAATGTACTTTCGCAGTGGAACTCGCTATAATGTGTATTGAAATCCATACCAAAAGATGTCATTTGTGTGGGATGTTAAAGTTTCAAATCAGCTGAAGACTGATTCGAGAGTGGCGTTTAACCACCAGTTGAAACTTGAGGTCTATCGAAAAATTCAGCATATCGCTAAGCCACTTGTTCTTGTCAAGCATGTTTAGCACTGCTGCAGATGAATACTACGTCTTTGAATTGTTTCCATTTACGAACATAACAACTTTGCGATGTTTTCATCTCCCTCACAAATTGACTTCAAAAAAGGCTTCAGGCCGTCAGCAGTTACCGGGAAACTACGAAAAGTTGGAAAATGCGTACTCAAACAACAGTGTGCTCCTGTTCAATATGTTTATATAAAGTGTAATAGAGACAAATGAGAATGGATCAACAGCGTGAAATCCAGAACTCCAGAGCTTCAGGATATGAAGCTTTCTCTTGAGCTGGTTGCCCTTCCCGAGAATAATGCTCACTCATGTTTTCAAGAATCTGACCTTTTCACTTTGTTCTTTCTTCGGGCAGCTTACCTTTCCTTCACTTTACCATGACAAGATTGAGCGACAGTCTATTGTGAATCGAAGCTGTAGTTTTCGGTGTTGCTATGCGTTTCCGTTTCTGAAGGAGCATGTGTTTGAAAAAGGGAAAGCCCTAAACATATGGATCTTCAAAGAACCATAACTCGCAAGTGGTGGTTTAGCGAACCCAGAATATTAACTAGGCGGGCACGTAAACCTTGCAATTTTCATACTCTTCTGCCTTTTTGAAGGCATTCATTTTTTGGTGAATTACGTCCCACCATATGTAAAACAGGTTTATGGTGAGAGGAGTTTATATATCGCTTCAGAATTTGCTGAAGTTTGATCTAAAGAGGTATTTCAACGTGCTGATTACAGAACTCATATCCATTCCCCGAAAAGTGCCTTCCTTGGGAGTTCAAGAAAAAAAAATTTCATCATAGCAAGAAATGAGTACGATATATGTGTTCAGCGTATCGAATTATCCTTCTGTGCAGAATCAGCAAATTTTGAGGTTTCGCTGCTTAGCTACTGATGAATCGTCCTCCCAATCTGACGCCTTTGACTTATTTAACTTCTTCTGCGTCAGAAATCATTTTATCTTCATATTCAATTTTTCAAAAAGTTCAATAAATCAATAAAAACATGAAATAAAAGTCAATACAAACTCCAGCAACATGTTGCCTACGACTTCGCCTTTTTATGTTGATAAGGTTGTACATTGTTCCATTTTTGCTCAAAAACCGTGAAACCTTGATATTTGACGATTTGAAAAATACATAATTTTTTATTAGTTATCAAAAACAAACGGTTCAAGCAGGCCTGCAGCTATAACTATGAAAGCCGAAAAACAGGAGCGCTATGAGATTAAAAAGAGTAAGATTGTGGAATACGATGCAAAACTTATGTGCTAATCTACAGAGTGTCTTCAAATGATGTTCACAATATTTAATCTTTGATAATCAGGGTCAAGCGTGGGTGTAGCATGCCACACTTGGAGGGTCGTATTGAGGGGTCGGGGAGTTGGGGTTCGTTATCGAGGTGAGCTGATATTAGCGATAACATGGTATTTGTTAACGATGTCATAAGCACTGTGTAAAGTATTAGCACATTGATGTTTTAACCTACCATCGTATACATACAGTAAGCGTAATAAAAGAACACTGTAAGTATAAGAGCATCATTTTCGTAACTAGAATGTCAAATAACCCCTATGGGCCAAGTTTCAGTGAATTCTGAGGTTTTCACATATTGAACCATCCAAGTGAGATAGTCATTTTCAAACAGTTGCTTTCGCTTCAAAGGTGAATTAACTAGATCTTTCTGCACTTAATACAAAGAACTACTACTTCTTTGTTCGCACTAGGAATCCTGCTTCGAATAACATCCAAACTTTGGAATTACGAGCAAGCCAAAATCTTATTCCTTCCATTTCCCGCTTTCAATATTCAGACTAGAGGAGAGCAGGCTCGAATCACTTTTATATAAATAATAAGACTCCTATCAAATACATTTTCTTTATTGCGTTCTTTTGCAATTTACATAGTAGCGCAGACTAGGCATGTTACCGTAACCGTATATTTTCGCAGCATTTTCCATTTGCATAGGTAAGGGAAAGCGACTATATCTTTCCCTACAAGGAACGATTTTGAATGATTTTACTGTTTAAAGAAGAAGGTCGAGCAATAACAATGGTATAAAAAACGCAGATATTTGAATGATTTGAAGGTAAGTTAATTGGGTGTGGCACGACCCCTAAAAAGCTTGCCTGCCACAGTTTCTAGGGGTCGTGCCCTCATTAACTTACCTCCAAAAAGAATTTTAGGAAACAAATTAGGTACAGTTCGATAGTGAAAATGTCGTGGTTTTTGCAGAAGTGATCAGAGCTGAATTCGCTTTTTTCTCTTCGAGTAACAGTTGCTGGAAGCACAATCACTGCAGGCGAAAAATGGGACAGACGAGATTTTGGCTGGCTCCTAATTCCATATTATGATGGCTATTTGAAGCAGTAGGGTACAGGGAGATAGGGAGTAGTGCTTCGTATTGAGTACAAGAATAGGTATAGGCTGCTGCATGACGAAGGCGCAATATCTTTGGGTGCCAACGCGGTTTCATTGGCGCAGAGCGCATGAGTCGCAGGATTTACAGAAGTGAAGATACGCGCGCGCAACGTTCGCGCCCGTTCAACTAATGCTGCTTGTGCACCTTCGTCATGCAGCAGCCATTAGCTAATTCGCTTTCGAATTATAGTTACCCTTTACACGCGTACAAGGCGCGGGGAATTTTTTTCTAAAACCCGCCGCCCAAACACGCCACAACACTTCGCGACCAAAGAACCCTATACCAAGCTCCGTATTGTCTGAGAGAATTGAACGGTTTAAGGTTCGCCCAAAACACATTGAAGCGGTTGAGAGGCTTGTTTAAAAAATAGAAAAAGATGCGCCTTGTACGTGTGAAATTAGGGTAATTATGTTCAAAAATGAGAAGTTCACTTGGGTAGTCCAACATTGGAAGACCCTAGAGTTCGCTAAAACTTGCCCCACAGGATCTGACATGATAGTCACAACTACGTTACTAACCATGATAGGTAAAACCTTTATGTCATGCCCGGGCAGGAGAAGGAAAATGAGGGGGGGGGAGGTCTTGAGGCAGAACTTAGGGGTGGGGTGTCGTACCCGGCGGTTGTGTGCTACACCTCTTGCTCGACCCTTCGATAACTCTCTTGCTTTCATGTCTTTTGCCAATCGAGGTACCATTCTTCAGAACGAGGTTGAACTTAGATTTACAGTATGGAGCCAATCACTAATCCTTCATTACTGTACGATTACGGTGTGAACTTTCAGCATACAGCGGCACTGTAGAATAGGCTTTTTCATGCAATTTTCGAGAAATTCTGAAAATTGCATTTTTGACGAAACCGGGAAAAATGGTTGTTACCCTAGATCTGAAATAACTCATGAAAGGAGCATTAAACCTACTCGCAATTTTCATATTTAGAGTCAACGACTTCGAGTAATCCAATTCAAGAATTTCTGGCTTGTTTGGTTATTCCTGAGGCAAAAGACCGCTTTCACTGGCATAAAATCCTCCTCGAAGTCCCTACCGTAATCCCACAGCAAAGACCGACTGGTTATTCGCTTTATACAGTAAATCTAAGCTGAACCTCGCTCTGGAGAATGGTACCTCAAGCTCGGCGAAAAACATGAAAGCAAGAGAGTTTTTGACGATCAAACAGTGTGCACATCTTTTTGGGACACCCTGTATTTAGGACTGCAAACTTTTCGCTGATGAGGATGCAGCTTGAAGAAAGTCAAGACAAGAACTCTGTTCTAGATTCTTTTATCTGGGCTTATCCGCTAAGCTCAACTCCACTTCATAAAGAGCGAAAGGCGAGCGCATGCGTTTCCCAAAGCCTTACAATATAAATGGGACGAGTAGAACAGTTTCCTCGACTTGACAAATCTTTGCTACAGTTTCATCAATAAGTAGGCTTATATACAGGATGGGCGGCACTACGGATTTACACATTTCTGCTCACTTGAAATGTTGGCGCAGTTTTAATAATAATAGTAGGAGTTTGTGGAAAATCAGAAAATAGAGGGTAGGGGTGCTCATAAATAGAAAGGCACTGGAAACGCAGGATTACTCAGACAGTCGAAGGGATACTCCGGAGCGAAAATGGGAGGGTCCCAAGCTCTGCCCAGAGGGGGTTTGCTACTCGTGCTCCCACCCATTTCACCCGTCAAGGTGACGTCACAAGAAGGCGAATGGGACTCCTCTCGGGGGCTCGCAAATCTCTGCTCCGGTGGTGCGCCAGATTTGGAGGAGTCCCGGAGCTCAGAACTGGGTGAAATGGCAGGGCTTCGGAGCATGAAGTGGCAGATCCCCGCCATTTGCCCTCCGGAGGTATCCCTTCGACTGTCAGTCTAAGCAGCGGTATCAAAAGGTCAGCTTTGCAAGTTCCCTGCAATCACTGGTTGGGTTATACGTTCAAGAGTTGTTTCATACTGCATTCGCTGCAGCAGCAGTCATATTGGGGCGGGCAAAAGATATCGATCGATTGACTGTCGTTGCTGCAGTATAAAACAACCCTAAGGCCTAAGGCATACCTCCCGCAACCCCAGTCGCGCCGCCTTTTAACTCGGACATATATTCCGAGCCCGCAGCGCACGCGCCCTCAACTGTGTGGTCTCGCCGCGTCTATGTTAAATTGACGCCGCGACGAATCGCGGACCGTTGGACGGGCATATCTTTAGTAGGGGGATCGTTGCGACATCGCTGAAACTCAGCGATGTTGCCGTCGCTAGTTCCGACCCAGCGATGGGCGAATCGCTCGAATGGCTTTTTCTTTGTGAAAAGTTTTGTCTGGTTGTCCTGGTTTTGTCTTGTCAGTTTTGAATTTTTTCTCGGATGCGAATTTCATCTAGCACTGTTCCATCTTATACAAACGCTTCCTCTTTCATAAGAGAAGGATGGCCATCGAACATTCCATACTACTAATCATTGCATACACACATGCGAAGTAGATGCTTCTCAATGTCACCCCACCCTCTGTGTTACCATCTACTGATCTCGCAATGCACTAATCATTTCCCGTTCCTTTTTTTCACAAATGGAGCGAATCTCAAATGTTCTTGCTATAATCTCTGGAGCAGAATAGATGTGCATTGTCGGTTGCTGAGGCATATATGTATAATCGTTCGCAGATTGGCAGACGAGAGCTCGCGCAGAACTCGATGGAATAGCCTACCCAGAGTTTTTCTTTTATAAAGCCGAAAGCATGATTTCACTGCTACAAAGCTTACGTATATGCCCATCAGTGACTGAAAGAGAGCTCACAAATTTATGAAGCAGCTGTCGATTTCACTGCAGATGTAATTATTGAACTTGCGTAGAAAAACGTTGGTAAATATTGGGATGTGTGTGAATTAAATCTTTTCTCGTTTGATATAATGTTCTCTTGAACATATGGCTCCACATTCTGTTCGAATTTTCTCGAATAAACACACATCAGACAATTTGCAAGTTTTCCAAAAGTGCGTATAATGCGGTGTGGTGTGTGAGCGTCTAAAAAATCGCTTTGGGTATGTCCGGTAGTCAGGTGATGAGCGATTTCCCGCAGAGAGCGGTCGCCCAGGCAGTCTAGTCGCAGCGATCGAAACTCGTAACGACGGGGTCGATGGAGGTATGCCTTAGGCCTAAGGCCTCGAGCAGAGTTCGCGCGATTCATCGCTACAAGACAAGTGTTACGAGTTCATTGCATGGCGATCTTCTTGTATTTTGGTTGCGATAGTTAATCACGATTAGTCGTGCTGGTAAACTATCACAATTGAAAAAGAAGATCGACATGCAATAAACTCGTAACACTTGTCTTGTCGCGATCAATCGCGACGATGAAATCGCGTGAACTCTGCCCGAGGTTGAAATTGCGTAAAAGTGATTCGCATAAGCACGAAACATACCAGAAAGTTCCACGCTGTTCCAGAATACGGTATTCCAATAGCAAAACCAAAATGCTAAACACATATGACTGCGACTACACGGGAATCTGTGAGGTAAGTTGTGATCTATTTGCAAATTTCTTAACTCATCGCAATCTTTTTTTTTCATTTTTCAGACAAGTGGTTGTGAAGAAGATAGGTTTGGCACGGTCGTCTGTTGCTGTAACATTGATTTATGTAACAAGTCGTTAACAATTCCATCTTTATTTGCAACTCTGTTCGCTTTCTTAGCAATTGTGTAGAGACATTAGTTTTCAGTGTATATTGTCATACACGATACTGAAGGGAAAGATGTAACAATCCTTTTATTCGCTTTACATTCTGCTTCATTTCCATTCCTTTGCGATCCAATGAGCTTATTTCTAGTAATCAATTGGATAAGTCAGTCATTTCACTTCATCAGCGATGTCATTACGCATCTCGATTCTACGGGCAATCGTTGACATTTCGAATTTTTCATTCTAGCATGATTTAGACAGAGTTTCGTAAATGGACAATAACCATCTTAACATTGTTGGATCAGATAATCAGCAAGATTTTGTATTGCATTCATCAACTTTGTAAAAAGCTGAAAAGCCACAAAGAAAAGATCGTCAAACGGCGGATAGAAAAACGCATTACGTAATGAAATGCTTCTGCTAAAAGTGCTGAACTAGTGGATTGTGAGTCTCTGTTTTCTCCTTTAGGCCAGTATGGTGGAGAGGTGAGAGAGCATTTGAAAGTAAAGCTCTACATCACAGTGCCAAAGATTTGGCTTTTCCGTTTACTGTCTTCACGTGCTTCTCATCAGCAACATAAAAAGGCTTAATATCTGTTCGTATGTGCATATGTGAGTGTGTCTGTACATATGGTCCGAATAGATACCTCAATTTCTAAACAGATTCGCTCTAAACGCTCACTTACACTGGCGGGTCGGGTGCCACAGGTTACTTTTGGTTATCGATCGATATGATTTTATCGATTTTTTGCAAGCTATGGCAGTGGGAATCAACATAGTGGATAAGCGAGTATTATTTGTGTAAACCACGTGCTCCTTTCCCCGTAAGCGCAGTAGCTTCGCGCCACGATCGCGCGCGTATGGCTCGGGCATTCAAAATGGCATCATCGTTTGGAGGTTCGCACGCAGTCCTTGCGTTGCGCATGCGTAGTGCCAGTGCAAAAAGGAGCGCGTAATTGACATTGACTGTATGCTGTTTACGAACGGTATTACATTCTAGTGTCATCGATTACTTTTCTTTTGCTAAGTATGAGTGATGGGCTGAAAGTTGGCACAGGGAAGGTAATTAAGCATGCTCTCTACGAAAACAAAGGCAAGGTCTTGACATATGGAAATTTGAGAGCGGGACTGGAAGTATTTTATGGAAATAGGACAATGTGATTTCTATCAGTGTGCTAACAGGACCGGGCGCGGTCGGGTATGCCAACTAATATGAGATAAGGGCACATTCCAGGTGATGTGCACATAAGAGTGCTGTGAATAACTTTTGCGTCTTGCATTTTGTGTAAGGAAGCAGGTTCTCACAGTCGAGTTAGGGATCTGCAACAGGTTGCCGCCAACCGTTGCCAGGGTTGCCGGTCGTTGTATTATATCCGTGGGGGGGGGGGACCAAAAGGGGCTTCCGCCACGCCCCTTTAGAGGTTATGGACTGGCAAAATTTTGAGTAGCACTCAAAAAAAATTTTTCTATTAGGTTTTTTCTACAAATCAGAAGCATCCATCAGTTAACACGATATATGAATAAACATCTTGATATAATGAATATAAAGAAGAGCAAGAGTGGTCAGATAAAGGGCCATCTTCAAGTTGTAACGAAGATTGCGATCTTTGCGCCTGCTCGAAGTCATGTGCGCATAAATACCTAATCAAATGATACTTCGCTGCTTAGCTCATCCAAGTATTAGGTTGAAAATTAAGTTTTGCAACTCATACGATAGCTTTACTCTCTCACAACACGGCGCATTCATATTTTGCAAATCTATAGGTTATGATGTAAGCTACAAGCGCAGCTGTAGTTCTGCCACAGTCTGACTTCGTAGTGAGGGTTATGGTATGTATATGGTTTGAAGGGGAAAATTATAAAATTCGACAATTTGGCTGAAATTTGTCATAGTGGCGTTATTCGATATGCTGACTACGAAAACGATACTAAAGTTGCGTGATAAGAACTTCTTTGTAAGATTACTGTAGGTGTACGATATAGGGTCTCACCCTAAACAAGGAAAAAGACGTTGACTCAACGAATGAATATGATATTTGTGTTTACAGGTCAAAGAACCTTAATGTGTAAAGGCCCGGATATTTTGTGGTTCTAACTCCTCACTCATTGACGGTTGTCCCCAGCAGCCTTGCGTACAGCGGTTCGTTCAAATTTGTGAGCGCGCCAAATCTCGACTTGCCCCTAAATTTTACTTCTTTTCTAGTGAGCTGAGTAAGTCAACCTCTAGCAACAAGTCTTCCGAGCTTCCGGATAATTGCGCATGGTCTAGGCTGCTAACGCTTCAGTTTGCCTTATGACCTCAAAAATTCACAAAATTCACTAGTTTTCGAAAAACGCCTAGGATTTCTCTAACGCTTTAAAAATCAAACAGCTTTAGTCAGTTGTAGCTCACACTACGCTCTGCATACTTCCAAAATTTGAATGCACTGAATCCAAAGAGAGTTAAGTTATGGAAATAGTTGCAAAACTTAGTTCCCAGCTTAATATATGAAAGCTATCATTGCATGCAAAAAAAGCGGTTTCAGGGGAGAATGCCAAAAAGTGCACTGCCAATTCTTCGCCGCTGTTGTCAAAGTTTTGCGAATGCCCTTTACATCACATAGGCATGTGCCATCAAAAGTATTTCCTACTAAAGGTTTGTTCCCTGAGAAAATGATGCACAGTTGAGCGATGAAAACAACGTTGCCACAGAGTTGATCACGCGCGCATCATCATCTTTTCAAAGGGCATAAGTGATAAAAGCCAAAAACGTTGGTCTTTTCGTTATCACTAAAATAGAAGGGGAGTGGGAAGCTTATACCCATATTCTCGCACCTATTGGTGAACTGTTGGGCACATTCGGCCTCGCTATACTTACGAGGGTTTACACGTTCGCGAAATCGCTTTTTTTCATAACATTATATGTTTTGGCAAGAATGATAGCAATCAAACTTAGACATTTTCTTGGAAAGAAAGATGTTTTCTTCACAAAAACCGAATCTCATGGAAATGTCAAATGCAGAAATACGCATGCTATTCCGTACTGATTTTGTCCCTGATTTCTAGACTCATTCTCAAGAATATGACCTCGTGACGAATTCATTGAGGATGTTCTAGGATAATGGGGATGATTTCTTTATTGTTTGGTACCATAAGAGCTTTCTGAATCTACGGAAGTTCTGGCGATTTACTAGCCTTGATGACTTTGGTGATGTGATTTCATCAGATGTTAAGAAAGTCTTGGCTGGGGCAGTATCGGTGCTGAACCTTCATTGCAGCAAATAAATCTCTCTACTGAAACAGCAATCTCGAAAACCCCTGAATCCAAAATTTGGTTTTGATTAGAGCAGCTTTGCTACTTCGACTTCAATTTTTGTTTCAAAAACCCTTAGTATCTGAAGTGACACTGGATAAGGGGCGGGGCTTACATGTCTTGGTGTCCTGAGGGGTTCTTAATTATAGTGAGTCTGATGTGATTGATCTCCGCGTGAATCTTTCCGTTCGGCGGCTCCCATTTCACCAGCGATGTTCTTTCTTTATAAAAATGGAATCCATGGAAAAATCTGCGGAGGAGAGAAGCCCAAGAAGACAATTACCGTTTCCGTTCCGAAGCCCATGTCCAAACTTCCCGATCCTATATTCCTTTTCTGGTGGCATCTCGATTTTCGCGTTGAAGTCACCCACAAACTTTTAAAAGACTTTTCGTTGCGGACGACCTGCTCCACATACTTATAGAAAGCATCTAGTTCTGAGTTGTCATCTGCTGATGTTAACAAGTAGCAGTTGATGATGCTGATGGTCTTCTGACGTCGTGGTCATAGTCGTAGGATGGCTAATCGAGGTTGTAAGATCTCATGCGAATCGACAAGATGGACAATAGATGGGTGGACGAAAACCAACGCCTCCAACTTTTCATGATGAGTTATCACCACGAGTGATGATCATTTGTCGCACGTTTTTCTTTTTGGTCTTCGTCCCACAGAGCTGAGTGGTACTTGATGTTTTTGCAGCGTCGAGAAGGGTGTGGAGGTCAGCGTTTGTGGAGACCGTCCTGGCGTTGTAGGTGCAGAGCAAAGGCAATCTCTATGGTATGTCATTCGAGCAGACGTGTTTTTTGTCCAATCCAAAAGGCGCCCAGAGGACCCTGACATCGTGCTACCACCAGCGCCTTAGGCGGGATCCGATGTACAGGTTTTCATTTCTTCTTGCTGACGGGGTAATGAAATGTTCCCCTATTCAGACAAATCACGGGAACTTCCCGAGGGGCAAGCCAATTTGCCAAACTTCCCGAGGGTTTCATTTAGCACGTAAGTGAATGGAGCCGTGAAAATGGGAACCTCCCGAAAACTTTGACGTCAAAAGCAACACAGTTAGGAACTTCCCGAAGAAGTCCTCGGAAAGTTCTGCAAAATGCAGAACCTCCCGAGGATTCAAATTTGTGGGAACTTCCGCAGAGCTCTTTTGCAAGTTAGCAAAACATTCCTGTTTTGCTTGTTTTGCAAGCAAGACTACCTGAGAATATCATAATGATAAGCTCAAAGTTTGATAAGCTCTGAAGTCTAATGTGCTTCATTTCTGTCTATCACCGTTCGAAGGATAGGTAATATTACAATATCGATACCTATCTATAGTAGACGACACCGTCTAGTCACCTCGGTGCGATGTGTGTTAAGGAGCACAAATTGAAATTCTGGATGAGGCACTGCGGTTCCACCGTGCCGTACAAGCCAAGCCAGATTCATAAGATCTACCTAGTCTATCGTTAACGTTCTTAACGGTACAATGCTTTTGCAAAAAGTTCTCAGGTAAATTAGTTCTTTAAGGCCCGTATGCACGTACATCCCCGCTGGGGAGGGAGGGGATCTGAGAGGGGATGCGCCATATCTTGTTACTTTACGTATCTTTCTTCTTCCTTTTCTATCTTGCTTATGAAGGTTCTCATACCCTACTACCTGCGCATAATTGATGCCCGGTTACTGGCATAACTGATTGGATTTGTACTATTTTGTGTGATCCCCTGGGGATCCCCAGGGGATCCCCAGGGGATCACCTCTCATTTCCAAAGTCATTTATCTTTCTGAGAAATCAATGGAAACGCCGCAAAATTGTACTGAGGATATACTACGGCACTGCTAAGCATGTTTTCGACAGAAAAAATGGAATCTGAAGATTGTGAATTTTTCGATGATCCCTAGCTTTTGAGCCAGGGATTAACGAAGATTTCGATGTCCTGAGATTTCACTTATTTTTACTTTAAACATGCTTAGCAGTGCCGTAGTATATCCTCAGT